GCATATATTTCATTCCTTATGTTAGGTTGGTCGATTGACAGGTCGGTTTCGCTGGATCGATTCAACCAATCGCTCTCGGCAATTTTGAATCGAACGCACAATACAGTATTTGTACATGTGCTCCACACACACGAGAAAAGACTAATTTCACGTACAATTCCGCTGAAAACCACGTACCAAAGGAGAAACGGATGATTTCCATGTACCTCGGCTGAATTGCATGTGTTCGCTGTTAGATCGAAGTTCAGAGTAAATGTTACCATTGTAAAGTGCAACGAAATGTATTATAAAGCATGCTTAGCAGTTTCTTCCACTGCTACTGTCCCGCAACCGCGACGTCAAATACGCGGCGTTGACGGCCTTCGCCAAGTCTTCGATAGCTAGGTGTTCAACAACGCAATTGTCGAATGTCACTCGCCAGAAAACACTCCATTTACGTTTGCCCACGATGACGTAGTTGGATTACTGCATCTCGCCGTCGACTGTTTCTTGACATTCTTTCGAGCACTTCCAGTTGATTGCCTGTCCCGGTTTCTCCGTCAGGATCCGCACGAGGCGTGCCACTGCGAAATAATGCTCATCGTCTCTGTCAAGTGCACGGCGCATTTTCCGCGGACTTCCGGGTGGCTTGCGAGCCGGGAGTCTTTTCAGCAGCTTTGCAAGGTCTAGGCCGTCTCGTAGAGCTAAAGTGACCAAGACATGACTGCATATCCATCCTGACGTGTAGTGAGCTTTACAGTCGCACGAGTATTTACTGCGAATTGTCAATATCTACAACCAAACGAGGTTAGTAAAACAAAATAAAATAAAAAAACGTTTAGAGCTCACCTCTTCGACTGCCCAGTTTGGGGAATTCCAGTTGTGCTGATACTCGAGCGCCTGCTTGATCTCCACCTTGTGTAGTGACAAGTAGTCCAACGAGAAATCGGACGTGTATACTTCTTTTAGTCTTCATAAGTACAGAAATGAGTGTAAGGAATTCATCACAGTACATTGATTCATAAATACTGGTGAATGGTCACCTCCGGTCAGAGTGCAATGATCACATGCAACTTAACGTTTCCTGCCAGCCTCTTGTCTTAAGGCATCCTCCACGTGCTTTTACGCCGACAACAGCAAGCGATCATTGACCTCACGGCCGACGGTGCAGACTCTCGGTCGGGAGCGAGTAGTGGTGAGTTCATGGTAGGAGGAGCTGGTGCCATCGGATGCGTTTAAACTGGAATTTGCTGGTTGACGTCGACACGATCGAAGTTCGCAAGGAGACCAGATACGGCAGGCAGCATGGACTGTAGGTAGGCGGTAGGTATAGGTAGGGGAACTTCGTTAGGAGAGCTCTATGGAGCGGCAACCCTCGCATTTCTTAGTTGCAATATGGATAGGACTGGTTTAGATGAAGCAACTCATATTACGCGTAGTGTTCTGCGGCACAGGGTCGACACTACCCAACAACGGGAAAGGTTTGAATCCTTTCGTTCTGCGGTCAAGGGGCTCGGCGTGGCGTGCAACACAAGAACCCCCCAACTCTGAAGCCTGCGAAGACTTGGACCCTATATTCGAAGATACGCTACTCCAACAACCGGGAATAATTTGTTCGGCGCGACCGCTATCCAGACGCGCCGAGTTTGTGCGAGATCGAATCCGCGTGATTTCTGCGAGGCCGCTACTCCACACGAGCCTTGACGAACTTAGTGTGTCATAGAGTGGCTGGGGGCGTAGTTAGCGACCACGAGAGGGTGAGGGGTCTATCAATGACCTCTTGGCCGTGGAGTGGTGGCACTGGAGTGAACTCGATGCTTGCGCCAGCACTGGGAGGGTCCACGCTCCCCTTGTACATACATTCGGGTTTATCGAAGGCATGAGGACGGGCCCACAGAATAGTTCGGGTTGCCGGCTGCCTAACAATCTCCTCTCCCTAAGCCGGTCTCTGTTGGGCTGGCGCTAGCTGGTCCCCCGAGGGTAACCTATTAGACGCAACGGTTCTAGCTCCTACGTATATACTAACCTTTCTTCCGAGTGGGACTCTGTACAATTGTGCAGCGTAGTAGAAAGGAGCGACGATTAAAGCAAACATCGTATGATACAAGCGCAATCACTTTAGAGTTGCATGTAGCCCGTAAATAAGTTTTGCAAACCATAATTAGACGCTAAAATTCTACTAACCACAACTAATCATTATTTATGGACCGCGTAACTGTTATTTGTGGAATATGGTACATCGTTTTCAGCCGGCACACATAGAATTCCTCCGTTCGGTGATTATACATTCGATTCGTCCGAATCATACGTGAAAAATAATCCACACCCCACATGTGCCGCGCTCTCTTTGCAGCCTACTCATTGGCATCCTCCACTTCTTCTTGTATAATAAGCTTACAGTATATGTAAACTAGTAGTGGAGCATCTCAGTCGCGTTGCTCCGTTGAGTTGCTTAGGGGGCCGACGCCGTGCTGTGGAATCTCTACTGCAGGCCGACGTCCCCGCTCTCCCAATGGATCTGATGAAGCTGTTGATTAATTGGGTCTAAGCCATCATGTGCAGATCAGTGCAGCGTCGATCCGACATCACATCTTCGATTAGGAACACTATCCTATTATCATAGAACTGCATGAAGAACTCGTCATGGCTTGTAGGAAGTGCATTGTGAGCTTTACATACTGGGGGTTGCACCCCCAGACCCCCGCAATAGAAAGCTAACTCCGAGTTGGGGCAATGGGTCCGTTCGCTGGAATGCTCGTCGCTGGGCCCGCCTACGCAAATACCGCGCGGGTTTGCTGCGGCTACGCTCCTCGCAACCGCTCACTACCGCTGATCGCACTCGAGCATATCTTGCTGGTAGGCAAGTACTTGAAGAGTGCGTCTGTCCAATCTTATTTTCTTAAATAAACTATAGGAGACTGAGTCTGACGCTCCCGTATATAAGCTTGCTGACCCTGTTCCCACCGCTCTAAATCAGGGTATGAACGTATGCATCTTCACAGCCGATAAACTGTACTTAGTAGCATTTTAGCTAAAGCTGCACCCGTCGTCCTGTTGCTGAGCCAAATTTCTCTGTTTGGAAAGTGCCCTCTAAAACGTGTACCTCTTATTTAATGACATATGGTCACTAAAATCTAAAATCCGCATCTTTATGCAGTGAAATCTCAAATCCTATTCATGTCACAATTCTTGAAATGTCAGTAAACACAGGGTTTTTTGGTCAAAAATGGTCCTCGGCGACTCAATCAGAATATCAGCCCTAACCCGTTTCTTCTAAACTGTTAAGTAAATGCGGGTATGGACCCTTGAAAAAGCTAAGTAAAAGTGAGTGCATGTAAGGGGGGACATCGTCCCCAACAAACCGTATGCCAACTAATTATAGTGCTGTCTTCTTGCTTCCGCATGAGTAGCTCGTAAAAGTTAGCGGGACACGTACTTCGAGGCATGGCGATCCTGGGCTTTTGCCATAGTATAGCCCTTTGAATTTAGACTTCACTGCTTCTCGTCAGTATTGCCAAGGATCTATCAGTGTACTGACCGATACCTTGAATTAGGCTATCTATGAATAAGTTAATCCAAACGACTGTTCAGTACATTGTTTCGTACATTAGTGGAGACTTTTTACTGATATCTCATGCTTTTTACGGCTGGCCCCACTGTCGTTTGCCTCCGTTGCCACATTTAACAGGATTTCAGCCACCCCCTCCACGATCCGTGTGCACGTCAACTCTTACCTTAAACTTCAACGATTAACATCGCTTGTTTGTTGATACAAACGGGGCGATCTCCGGTTCGATATTAGATCTCCGCGAATGCTGGGATAACAGGATTTTGGTATAAACCCTTTCTATTGTAAAAACCGGCTGAATTAGCCGGTTAAACATCGCTCATAGCGGATTTGAAGACTAATAAATCGGGGATGTCTCAATTATAATCGGAGTATACATCGCTAATCGGTCTCGTAATTATGTGCAGCCTAGCAATTTCGATCAACATGCATGTACCCTCGGCCCGAGACTCGCCAAGTACAGCGACAACACCGCGCTTAACCCCTTGAACGCGAACGCGTGGACCGTACATGATACCAGCAAACGCTTAACGTGGACCGGTCCACGTTAAGCATTTTTGACCTTTACCTTCTGTTGATGTAACCTCTTTAACCGATGGTACAGTGGACCCTAAAAGCTGATAGCCAGTTACTCAGTCCCTCTTAAAGCTGTTATTGTGGTATTTAGTATGTTATACAGTCCCCCATAGTAATATGCTCCGCACCAGCCATCTCCTGCTCTCTGCGAGGAGCTCTCTCAACTAATAAACTTTACTTCGCCTTTTGGCAGCTCCACCTCACCTACTTCTTCTTCTTCTTTACGTCCCTACGATCCTACCCTTACCTTCATACCTTCGGCCAGTTCGGATCAGTCTAACCATAATTCATCGGTCATCAATACCACGTACAATATCCTTCAAGCTCGCCCTAGATTCACGATTAAGATACTGTAACCTATCCTATTTTACACGCTGCTTCACCTACCAGACGAAGGAGTCCTGCGGCTGGGAGAACGACACGGGGTGATACCGCACTGGCCGCCGCATGACGTGGAATGGCATGCGAATCTGCAGCGTGCCGTCCTCGAAGATCTGCTGCGTGGCCTCCTCCATGTTGAGCATGTGCCGCGGGAACTGCTCGGCAATCTCAAAGCGGCCGAAGGTCGGGGCTCCGCTGAGGCGCGACATCACGATGTCCTTCTGCGTGGGCAGTCGGAAGCCGCTCACTCGGAGCACGTCGCTGTGCTCGTTCCACTGCACGCGCACGTTGCGCGGGTCGATGTTCTTGAGGCGCGCGAGGAGGTAGATGCCGTCCTGTCGGCGCTGCAGCTGGTAGTACGGCCGCCACACCGGTAGCGAGTTGACGTCGATGTCCATTGTCTGTGGGGTAAGACCCATAGTTGGCGGCAGAAGACGCGGGGCCTTCTTCTGTGGAGGAGCGAGTTGTTTATCGTCTTCAGCTTCAGCTTCGTCGTCGGCCTCTTCGTCTTCCACGACCTCGGTCTCGGGCTCCATGGGCTCGTCCTCTTTGGCGTCTTCAGCCTCCTCCATCTCTTCGCCATCTTCTCTCTGCTCTTCTTCCTCTGCCTCTGACGCACTTTCGTCCTCCTCGTCTTCACTCTGTCCGAACAGCGCCTTCACGTGCATGTCGTCGGACTCGGAGCTGCTGTCGCTGGGAGTTGACGGCGCCTGCGTCTGCTCCGCAAACGTTGCGAGCAGGTCCTCTCCTAACTGCTTGAGCTTGGCGCTGCGCTCCTTGAAGGCGTCGGCCTGGGGCAACAGCTGCTGCACGAGCAGCACCAGCGCCTTGCGCGCGCTCTTGACGTCGGCGTCGCCGTGGCTCAGCACGTCGTCCAGCTCCAGCAGGCAGCGCGTCAGCAGCTCCGCCTGCTCCTTCACGCGGTAGTCGAAGGCGCCGAGCTCCAGACGCGTCTTCTTGACGACGGCCGCGGCGTCCTGTGGCTTGAGCGCCTGCAGCCGCCACTTGGCGCCGCACACGAGCGCGGCCACGTGCCGGAACTGGGCCGGGAGTCTCGAGCTGAGCTTGCTCTGCACGTCCTGCACCTTGAGCTCGATGGCGCGCAGCCGGTTCTTCTCGTGGGTTGTCTGGGCCTCCATCGCTGTCTGTCTGCGGTGGTGTGGAGGGCTCGGTAATGCGTTACTGGTAGTTGTTGCTTTGACTTGGTTGTCACGGGGCAAATTGAATTGTGAGAGACGTTGAAGTGGTCGCGGTCGCGGAAAAACCTGCGACGTGTGACGAGGACAATCTGGAACGCTCCAGATGCTGGGTCTAGATGCAGGTTGCATTTCGGCCAATGAAAACTTCGTTAAAGCTATTCGCGTTGTTATTGGTCAAAACGATTTGCATGTTGGTTGATCCAACATGGCGCTAAACTTGAAAGTTTCAAGTTGAACGCAAGTTGAAACTGCTTTTGGTTCTTAAATATATTAGTGCGGGCCGGCGCGACACGAGACCATAGGCATCGCTACGAGCCCCACTCTTTATCATGATGCAATGGCGTCTCAGTAACCACCGACTTCGCAGCAAGTGCGAGGAGCAAAGCAACGAATGTCCGCACGTGCCTTGGCCCACGGCCCTTGGGTCCCACTCTCGAGAGAAGGGTGAAACGGGTTGTCTTCGCCTCGAGCTATTTGATATCGGGCTCTTCTTCAACGCCACGAAGGCACTAGGGTCCCACTGCAACACCTTGGAGACGTTGGATTCGCTCTCTATGAGATTCTACACCTTGACAACTGTAAATCTGGACTACGCTCAAGCGTTTTGGTCGCCCATGATTTTCTGCAGCACGCCCATCTTCTCATAACACTGTCAGATTTGCATATCCCAACAGTATGATGCCGTTGTTAGTCATGAAGAGGGTCTTGAGCTTCGGTGAAGACGGACTTCAGGTTGCCCCTTCATCCTCTTCGTCCGTCACGGTGGCGTTACTGAGGGAAATTTGAGATGACTAACAAGGTGAGCTTCTCCGAGTAAGGAGTCCGGCCAGCAGCAATAACACGAGCGGTTGAATTACCAAGGGCTTGGGAGAAGTTTGCCGAATGGTGGAATGAAGTTTGTAGAGTATTCTCATGCTCAATACCCCGATCAACATCAGCAATTCGTACGTGGACACTCTTTTCTTTCTAATCGGTTAGTTTCGGCTTCGTGCACGCACAAGAATGCGGAGATTGAGACAGATATCACCGCACAGCTCGTAAACACCGCAGTGAGGAAGCTTCCCAGGCTTTCAGAATCTTGCATGGGAATTCCATTGGCTAGCTCAAATAGGCAGCACACGAAGTCGACCACCGATGCCAAGTTGCCAAAGTCCCATGACCAGTGTTCGTCCCCTCATTTGGCTCAGATTCCGTCGTTGAACCCCACCCAAAGCGCGGATGGCGTTGAAGAAAGTAGAAAATCGACGTGAAGCACGCAATCGCAATGTATTCCGAGCACATGTGCGCGTGGCTCTCAGCAGCATGAAAGTGAAGCAAAATTTCCCGAGAATCCAGAATTTGAATGCTTTTGTCTCGGTCTTGACCAGATGAGCTGGGAAGAATATTGCTGACTTGATCATTCTTCAGATTGTTCATAGCGCGCTTAAGATGCCAGAGTTTTGCCGCTCGCAGTGCTGGCTCAAGCATCCCAATCTGCAAGAACCCTAGAATGGACGAACCGGACCCGCTGCGCAGCATAACTGAGCGCACCTGCGTATTGATCAGTACTGTGGGGACCGCGGTAAGGACGTAGATCTTCTTTAAGCGAGTGCTGCCTTGCTGCAACGCCACTCTCTTCGTGATCGACAGGATGACGGTCTTCAAGACAACACTCGCAACGCTGAACAATAGCAACGCAGTGTTGGTCCGCAAAAGATCTAGAGCTGAGCACACGTGGACGAGAGCTGCTGCAATCATTGCAATAACCGTGAAATTCGTCGCCCGACCAACCGCTTGGGCGTAGCGTGTCCAATAGGGGGCGTCGTTCACATGTCCTACTAAACTTCCCTCCAATGTTTCTCGCTGGAAAATACTGCGCAAAGCCTCGTCAACACCAGCACGGTACAGCGAGTTCCAAACACAAGTTAGGTAAGAGTGCGGCTTGAACTCAGAGGCGAAAGCTTGGTCCGACCAAATAATCGAATACGCCGTGCCCAGTGCAAGCGTGTGCGCGAGGAGATAAAGCCACCAAGTCCGCTGCAAGTACCTGAAGATGAGTCGCCTAAAAGTCCATCTAGACCCGTCTACATGTCTCGAATCTCGCAGGGACAAAGCGTAGGGCGCCAGAATCGATACGCAATGAGAACCAGTTGATACCATGGCCGTCATGCAAATGAAATCCGCTGCGGACTGACTGGCGGGGGATTTCCCCGTGAAGATGTTGCCCAAAGTGAAGCTGTAAGTAGTGAAAAGCCACGCGGGAGGACCACTCGTCAGCGCCGGCCGCATCATCTTCAGCACTAGCCCCGCTGCCTCACAACATAGCCGACGAATTCCAGTCCATCCACGATGAAGAGATGAAGTTACCGCGGTAGTGGGCACTACTTTCGAGCGCGCCATTACCTGGTCTTCCGTAGGGCGAGCTCCTGCCTCCGCGATGGTAGAATTCTACTTAACTCTCGACGTATCTCGTTCTGATCCTACAAATTTAGAGGCACAGTACTCGAAAAAGACATCCATGAGCTTAATGTTTCGGTCCTGCAACTTACTGCAGAAACTAAGAGCTCATCGACTTTTGACTGGTGTGCGATGTAGTCGAGGACGTCAGTCGCGTCTTCGGGGACTTCGACGCCGTGGCACTGGAAGGGGATATCTGGGCTCTCCTGGTTCACGCGCACTAGCTGCACTCCGTCCTGAAGCGCGAACTGCTCGTCCGGAATACGCAGCACTCCGGGGGTGTTGAACCCGATACCGACCTCCAGAATCACGAGTTTCTTGCCATAGTCCTGCACTTGCTCCATGACTCGATCCAGCCATTGCTCGTACCTGGCTCGGTCTTCTGCCACGCCGCTGTCTATAAAAGTGTCGTCTTCCCGCAGGAATGCCGACGTGCGGCCGCCGCACTTCGGACACTTGGGGAGATCCGCGGGGTCTTCGATGCGATACGTTGCCGGGTTGAAGCTCTTGAGTCCCTTGTCCATGAACGGCTTGATGTCCCACACGCTCTCCTGCGAGCACGGCTTGGCGCACAGGATGCGCCCGAAGTCGCCCTGCATCACGAAGACGGACTTCCGGTCGAAGCCTTCCTGCTGGAAGAGGCCGTCCACGTTGGTGGTTTGGACAAACGAGGAGCCTTCCTCGCGACGTTCGAACTGGTCGACGATGTCCTGGATGGTGCGGTAGCGCATCCAGTCGAACCAGATCATACTGGCGTTCTTGAAGTAAAACCCCCACATTAGCGCTTCGTCCCAGTCCCGGAACGCGATGAAGTTGTAGAGCGTACGAAAACCCGGTATAGCCCTACGCACCGTCGGGTGGAACATCTTCATGACCGCTTCCGACCGAAAGTCGAGTCCTGCTGAGGCTGACAGACCCGCTCCGGCGGACACCAACAGGTAGTCCGCGTCTTGAATGACTACGCGCGCTCCACCGACGCAGCCACGGGAGCTGAAGGCAGCGCGGTTGGAGTAGGGCACTTTTTCTCAATGTAGGCCTTGTACTCGTCGTAGTCGAGCTTCAGGAAGGTGTTGAAAATCACCTTCCACCCCTTAGTTTGCTCTCGGTGGGCTACCAGCCACTCCATTACGCTGTCCACTGCCAAGGACACGGCCAGTTCGTTCGGGAATGCGATCAACCCGGTCGAAATACACGGGAATGCAATCGACACGCGCTCTCTGGGCTCCTTATCGAGCGTCATTAGCAGCAAGTCCAGCGACCGCGTGTAGCACGACTGAAGCTGCTCGCGCTCAGTCGCAGTCGGCATTGAACCGCGATGCAACTGAGGCCCCACCGTGTGCACAACGTAGTCCGCCGGTAGGGCGAACCCCGGCGTGATCTGCGCGTAGCCCACAGGCTCTTCGTGCGCTTGACGCGACGTGATGTCGCGGCACCCCGCTCGCAGACGCGGGCCTGGATCACGTTGTCGATGCACTTGTGCGACGGCCGGAAGCAGCCCAGCAGCTCCGCGTTGGCCGCGTTGACGATGGCCGTGGCCTTGAGCGTCGTGATGTCACCCTTCCACAGCGAAATCTAACGGGAACCCAACAGGAACCACAAGGAGAACAACTTGTAGGCAGCGATAGCGGCGGGCGCGGGCTACAGGCTCCGACGCCTTGGTCTGCATTTGCGTGTTGGCTTAGCAGATTCTTCAGTGACCGAGGTAAAACCGCGTTTCGCTGAATCCAAAGTCTCCAACTGTAGCACCCCCTTCCCAGCTTTAGGTTGAAGTCAACAGAATTCTCTTACTCTCTTCTTGCCATCAACTTGGTGCTGCAGTTGCTGCTTTCTACATATCATCACAGTGCATACATAGATCAACCATACCAAATACGATCTCCAGCTACACACACTTTAACTTTCCTATGCACTTCGCAAAATGCACTTGTATCGGATATGGTCTTCTTTGTCTTCCAGTCGCTGAGCCCTTACAGCCAAATCCTCATGCCACTTGTGTGACGATCTCTCATCAACTCTTCCTCTTCAATTTCGCTCGGGCTCTCTTCTTAATGCGAACTGGGATTCCTCGACGGCCCTTCGACTTCTGGCTAGCCTTGGACACGTCGGCTCCATTGGGGCTGTGCAGCACAGCGGGATGAGCACAGGCTGTGCTCATCCCGAACAATTTGCATCTCACTCTGACGTGGTGCATCTTTTTCGCGGCTGCCACCCGCGTTCACCCTTGCGGTGCGTACTCCCATCTTCTCTCTATGCCGCTGAAACGCTTCCAGAGGAAGAGGTTTGGTCATCATGTCTGCTACATTCGCCTTGGATGACACGGGTTTAATTACCTCTCCCCGCGTTTTCACGTATTCGCGAATCTTGAGGTCACTAATATTGAGCTGCTTGGTTCTGCGATGCTTTCCTGCATGCTTCATCAACTCTCGAGCACTGGTCGAGTCACAGTAGAGAGTTGTTGCCTCCCTCTTCAAGCCCAGCTCATCCACTAGCTGTTCGAGCCACACGGCTTCATGCATCCCCGTGTTCGCTGCAATCAGCTCTGCCTCGCAGGTACTCTCCGCTAGAGTCTCCTGCTTCCAGCATCTTGCCGATATCAACTGTCCATTACCGAACACTGCAAATCCACTAACCGACTTCATATCTCCGCCCTCAGACGCAAAATTCGCATCCGTGTAGACCTCAATCTGTAGCTTTTCATATTGGCGTGCCTCTGTGCAGTCAGACTGCAATCCCATATCCTGGCTCCCGATCAAGTACCGCAGCACTCGTTTCGCAGCCCGCCAATGCGCAACACCATACGTGTTGAGGAACTTACTGAGAATTCGCACAGCAGTACCCAATTCAGGGCGTGATCCACTCACTAGATACTGTAGGCACCCAACTAGACTTCGGTACGGCAACTTCAAGCACCGCTCGTGCTCGTCAGCACTGGCCGCTGCCAGTTTCACCCCATCAACTGTCATCGGAATGCGGACTGGATACGCGGACTCCATGTTAAACTTTTCCATGATGTCCTGGATGTACTTCGTTTGTCTGAACGAAACGTGCGTCTCGGGATCATAGTGTATCTGCAATCCCAGCAAATAGTTTACTTCCCCAAGACTCTTCATCTTGAAGCGATTCGTCAGCTCCTTGTCGACGAAGTCCACATCCTCTTCCTTACCTACCAGCAGAATATCATCCACATAGATAGGTAGAAGCACCAGTCTGCCCTCAATCCGGATCCAATACAAGCCTTCATCCTTGTAACTCTGACGAAAGCCAAACTCAATCAGCACTTGGTGCAACGTGTTATTCCAGTTACGAGGTTATTGCCGTAAGCCGTAGATGCTCTTCTTCAGAAGGCACACAAATCCTTCATACCCCCGCTTCACAAAGCCCTGTGGCGGCTCCATGTAGATGACCCGCTCCGTGGGTGCATTCAGGAAGGCGGTCACAAAATCGAACTGTTTCACTACCGACTCGGTCACCCCAGCCCATAGGAAGACGACCCTTAACGTCTCAAACCTCACAACAGGGGCAAAAGTTTCGTCAAAGTCTATCCCCCAAATCTCGAAGCAACCCAGTACAACTAGACGGGCCTTGAACCGCAACATCCTCATGTCATTCTCCTTTAGTGTCAATAGCCACTTGCACTTAAGGACGTGCGCGTCCTTCGGCCTCGGCACAAGTATCCACTTTCCATTTTCAATCTGAGCCAACAGCTCCTCCTTCGTGGCTTCAAGCCATTCCTCTTGGTGCGCAGAGCCATCATCTCACTCCAGATTTTCGCCACTTGGATCTTCATTGTTGCTGTTGCCGATGCCGAGGAGCTCAATACTGAAGCTACAAAGTCCTTAAGACGCGTCGATCGCTTGCGAACACGCCCGGATCTTCGCGGGTTCTTCACTTCAACGGGTAGGTGGCGTTTTCTCGCCGGCAGCGGAGGCTTGTCTTCTTGACTCTCTTCTGACTCTGATGCCTGTGCAGGTTCCGATTCCTTCTGCTCTTGGTCATCAGAGTTCACCGCTGCAGTCGCTTGCTCCTCACCTTGGAGCTCCGAGCTGTGAGCATCACTTGACTCGTCCACATCTACCACGGGCAAATGAACGAGCGGAAGCTGCGAACTGTCCACACTTGGACGTCTCCTCAAACGGTATACTTCGTTGAGCAACTTCTTCACGTACCACCTATCCACCGTAGTCTCTTCGTAAAACTTAACATTTTCATGGCGATGTTCACTTATCACACCTGTCGTCATGTCCAGTAGCCGATATCCTTTCGTCTGAGTCGCATATCCGACCATCAGTGCTGGCGCTCCTTTCATCGACAACTTGCTCTTACGATACGAACTTCATAGCATAACACCCAAAGGGTCGTAGATGGCGCACACTTGGCTTCGATCCAAATATCTTCTCATGCGGTGTCACCTTGTCTACATTGTCCTTGGTACTTGTCCTATTGATCGTCTCAATCACGTAGCACGCTGCTTCTCCCCACAGCATACCAGGTAGTACACTGCTAAACAGTTCAGCTCGGACTTTGTCCATCAGTACTCCGTGTGCTTTTTCTATCAAACACACTTCTTCAGGCGTATGAGGGTGGGTGAAGATCTGGATCGATTCACCCGCACATTGCTCCGCCATTGCCTCGTTCAGGAACTCCGGGCCACGATCCGAATGAAACGTCCTCACCAACTTCTGGTGTTTCGCGCTCACCATATCTCGGAAGCACTTCAACTTGGCCACTGTTTCCTCCCTCGCTCTCTGACCATACCACCACTGATAGCGCGAGCCCTCGTCAATCAAATGCAGGTACATTGTGTATCCCTCCATAGTCGGGTCTTGAATAAAGCTCACGTCCATCAAAACTTTCTCAAATGGCACCTTTGTGCGAGTTGGATAGGTGTGGCGAAAAGACATTCTTCTCATCTTCGCCATATCACAGTTGTAGCACTGAGCTTTCTTCTTGCGCTCCGCCTGCGACAACTCCAGGCCATTCACCAGCTCTTTCGTAGCCATGTCTTTAATCACTTGCCAATTGGCATGAGCAAGACGATGATGCCCCGAACGTAGTCTCCTAGTAGGTTGCCCGGAGTTCTGCAGGACAGCTAATGCAGGATGGGAGCGTGACACCTCGACCATTGTCTGATAGAGACCGCCTACCATGTCAAACTGCCAGGTACAGTGCTTCACTCGGTTCGGCAAAGTGGTCACCTCCTGGTCTTCACTCATCTGCGCGCTATAACCATATTCCTTATACAATGTCCGTTGCGACAATAGGTTGGTTGCACCTTCAACATACAGCGCCTCCACCGTTATCCAGACCTTCTTCTTGGTCAGCGCATCGACGATCGCAAACTTCACCAAACCTTTCATCTGCGCCTTCTTGCGTGTGTTCTCAAACCACTTCATCACGGTATCACACTCTGCAGTCAAAGACACAAATCCTTCGTGACATCCGCATATGTTTACTCCAGATGCGTTATCCAACACAAACGGAATGAAGAAGCTGCTACCAGCATTCTTCGTCACCTCAGGATTTGCAAAACATGGCAGGGTCTTTTCCTCCTCCACCACTTCAATCATCGTCACAGGTTTGGTCTTCTTTCCGCTGGGCTTACTTGGGTTGTAATACCCAGGGAGATCTTCACAAGTGTCATCATTCTTCTGCTGCTTGCGACTTTTACCTTGCGATTTGCCTTGGCTCTGCTTGCCGCCTTGCTGCTGGTCCTTCTTCGGAGCACGACATTCGAACGCATAGTGTCCAAATTTGCCACAATTGTAGCAGTCAACATCACGACGTCGCTTTTGTGGACCTCGGCCACCTCCACGACCTCGGTTCCGCTTCTTCACAAACGAGACGTCCTTATCACCTGGTTGCGCACCTCCAAGCTGCACTCCACCAGTCCCAGCATGATCATTTCCTCGTTTCCGAGCCTTCGCCTCCGTCACAGCCTTGGCCTGGTTCAGTCGTTCCTCGCGGCTTGTGAGTTTAATCTTCACTTGAGGCAGCGAGTAATCATCCAGGTTTTCAAAGGTTTCAACCATACTTTCATATTTTTCACCCAGACCAGTTAAAAGTGCAGTGATCATCTCTTTATCCGACACCTCCTCATTCATCAGCGTCAGCTCCTGCCGGATTGCCTCAACTCGATGGATATAATCACGGATGGACTCACTGTCCGGATCAAATTCCACGTTCAGAAGCTCTCGGCGCTTGAACAACGCGACCGCAAAAGACTTCTTCTCGAAGTCATCAACGAGAACAGACCATTTGTCTTGAGGATTCTTCAGATGGGCGAGTCGGACTCGGGTTCCGTCGTCTAACGTGTTTGTCAGGATGTCGTTTAGCATGAGCACCTTCCGGCGATACTCTTTGCGTTTTTTCTTCGTAGCGTCCGTGCCGTCCCTATCAGGCTTAGTCTCCTTGCCGATCAGGATTTTCCAGCTCTTCCTAACACGCAGCGCCGCCTCGAGTCCTTCCTTGTAAGCAAGAAAGTTCTTGCCGTCGAACTTGAGTGAGCGGATGGTATCAACTTTCTGACCCTCCATGCTCGCTCTTTGGGCTCATAACCTAACAGGAACCCAACAGGAACCACAAGGAGAACAACTTGTAGGCAGCGATAGCGGCGGGCGCGGGCTACAGGCTCCGACGCCTTGGTCTGCATTTGCGTGTTGGCTTAGCAGATTCTTCAGTGACCGAGGTAAAACCGCGTTTCGCTGAATCCAAAGTCTCCAACTGTAGCATCCCCTTCCCAGCTTTAGCTTGAAGTCAACAGAATTCTCTTAAAATCTGGTCGAACCCGCGCGCGTCGGGCGCGTTGAAGGCAGCGATTGTTGGCAGGTCGTGGGCGTCGACGACCGTCTTGCGATTCTTGAGCTCGAGCGCGAGCAGTTGGTCCATTTGAGAGTAAAGTTCCTCCTCTTCCTCCTCGTCGACGCAGTCGTCCGGTGGAGGACGCACCACCAGCAGGTTGTGCACGATTTCTCGGATCTCGGAGCTGGTGGAGTGGCGGAGATGGCGAAGCGAGTGACCGGCTTCCGTTAGCAGGCGCGTGGCTACTGAACGCAGGAGCGTCTTGTAGGTCGAGGGCACCGACGGGGCCATTGGTGACTGTCGAACGTGAGACTTTAACGAGAGGTGGAAAATTGGGGAATGACTCACTGAATCCTGCCGGGGTGGACTGTGGACAAGCAAGCGCCTGCTCTCGTCTAAAGTAGGTCTGGATCGTAATCGTCTCACCAAGATGGTCGCTCCTACGTAATCTGCGCGTGACGTGATTAGATGAGAGGATTAGTCACTGTTGAGATGAGCGTGTTTGATCACGTGCCCCGAGACTATCCGAGTCGTGCAGCGGGATGCCGTTCGCCAGCTCAAACGCGCAGCAGATGAAGTCGACCACGATCTCGATGCCCACCTGCCACGAACCCGCCAGCAGAGTCTCCTCCCACTCACGCTCGCCGCCGTCTTCGCCCATTTTGTGCCAGCCGAACCTTGGGTGGTGCTGCAGGAAGAAGAAGATGGACGTGGAGCATATAATCGCGATGTACTCGGAGCACATGTCCGCGTGACTCTCGGCCGCGTGAAAGTGCAACAAGCTCTGCCTTGAATTGAGGATCGTGGCCGGACGCACCAGCTTCGAGCCGCGAGTCTGCTGATGAGATAAAGACTTCGGCAATGGCAGGATAGCGCTGAGGCGATGCACGCGCGCGCGAAGTGCGGCCACGGAGCCGACTCGACTCACCGAGCTCTGCGTCATTTGCGTCATCGAGCGTCGGAGGTGCCAGACCTTGGTCATCCGCAGCAGCGGCTCCAGCATGCCCAGCTCCAGGAAGCTCCTGACAGACGACCCGGACTTGGCGTTCTGCAGCAACACTAAACGCACTTGCGTGTTGATCAGCATGGTGGGCACAGCCGTGAGCACGTAGATCTTCCTCAAGTGGGTCCCGCCGTGCTGCAGCGCGATGTGCTTCGTAATGGTTTGCACTATGGACTTGAGCACGACACTGGCGATACTGAACTTGAGCGACGCGAACGAGCTGTTGAGCATGTCGAGCGCGCTGCAGACGTGCACAGGCTCGCATCGCGATCACCGCGAAGTTGATGGACCGACCGACGGCCTGAGCGTAGCGTCTCCAGTACGGCGCGTCGTTCACGTGGCCTCTCTCGACCCCCTCCAAGGTTTCTCGCTGGTAGATGCTGCGTGAGGCTTCATCCACACTCGCGCGGTACAGCGAATTCCACGCGCACGCCAAGTAGAGGTGAAGTTTGAAGCTGGATGAGAACGCGCGAGCTGTCGAGACGAGCGCGTACGTGCCTCCAACGACCAGAACATGGGCGAGGTTGTACATCACCCACGTCTTCCTGATCAACTGAAGAGCAAGTTGTGTGAACGTCCATAGAGATCCGTCCATCCGATGGAAGTTCCGCAGCGACAGCGCGTAAGTGGCGAGGACGGAGACGCCGTAGAACGAAGTTGATACCAAAGTCGTCATGCTGATAAGGTCTCGGTCGGATTGAAGCGCTGGCGGGAGGCCGGTCAAGGCGTTACCCAGAGTGAAGACGTACGTGAGGATCCACGCCAATGGCGGGTGATATTTATCACCTGTTACTTTAGCACTCTTCGGCTGTTGTGTCTCTCCAGCCCCTGTCCACCTGTCGTTAGCCCTGCTCGGCTGTCGTCTGTTAATAACCTTTGTCAAAGAATATATTATGATATTGCGAGGGGTACATGCGCGACTCGAAGTTTACCTCCGTGAGGGACTCTACTAATAGCCGAGAGCCTGATCGTGGTTCGTTCGGATGCGTAAGGACAGTGGGTTAGTCCAGAGATTACAGTATCGTGGTGGCGCTGTATTCTTGGGCTGCAGCTCTCTAAATGACTTCCGGTTGCTTGTAGCTGACTTAATTTGGTGTATCTTGTACGCTCTCAGTCCCAGCTATCGGCATGCTGTTCGATTGCGACCCTCAAGCGTTAGTACGAGATGTTTGCCCTGCCGATTGCGTATTTGCACTCGCCACTAACCTGATGACTGCTAGGTGCTTGCCTTGCAGTCAAAGAGCACTCGCAACAGGTTTTCAGATCAACAGGTTCTCAAACTTGAAAACCTGTTGAAAACTAACAGTTGAACAGGGTCGCCAACAGGTAAGTAGGGGCTGTGAGCTAGCAACAGCCTAGTAGTGGTAGAACAACAGGAATTAATTATTTTTCGCCAATGGCCCGCTGGTGCACGCCGGCCGCATGACCTTGAGCACGAGCCCTGCCGCTTCTTGGCTCAGGTGCCAGGCCCATCGCCGGCGAGTGAGCGCCGCCTGCTTAACGGAGGGACCAGCGGGCGACACTGCCACTGCAGGACGGTCCTTCATTGTTGCCATTTAGATGGTAGCTGGTGGCAGTCGTCGACCATTTCGTTGTTCTCTCTCGTCTTGGTGTATTCTTGGCGACGAGCGTTATGATAGCCACAACGACGAACGTGTACACATATTCCTGACTACGGCCAGTAATTTGTGGCCAGCTCCATAGACACTTCCACTCGATGAGCATTCGCCTTGGTGAATCCGTGTCAAGCACCAGAAGGGATCCACTCGGACTTGTCCTTTGCGACCAGGATGGATCCCCCTTCGGTACAGTACCAATGCGTTGGCAACCTGCTATTGGCACAACTGCATCCCCGACAGTCGAAACCCACAGTTCTGCGGCGGGGTTCACCATACACGGAGAGTGGGGAGTTTGGTTCAATTGGCCTGTTGCTCGTTTTTATCAACAGATCTAACGACCGCATTAAATCGTTAGATTCTGAAATGACTTGATTTCACTATGTTCAAAAAGCCCCCGTTTTAGCCCTGCACGCTGAACCGAATTCACAGCAGCAAGCGCAACGGTCGTGTGATCGGCGGGCGGGGGCGCGCAGATCTCCTCTTGGCGGCGAGGACACAGGCAGGCGGAAGGCGGCAATATGCTGAGCACCATGGCGACCGCGGCTTCAAAAGAGTGAGTACCGTATCCCTGTCACTCATTTAGCAATTGGCGGCCAAGCTTCCGCGTGCCCGTGACGTTCCTCTCGACGTGGGCCGTGTTGCGGCTTGCCACTTCCGAAATGTGCTTACCTTAACCCATCTCCACCTTAACCTCTTTTCCATCGACTAACGTGTCTCTAACCTGTTGCAGGAGCTACATCATGACCGCCGCCGCCGCGCTGATCTCCGGCTGCGCGCTGCTGGCCGCGCGCGGGGTCGCGGGTCCTCGCTCCGTCATGACCAAGCGCATCGTGGCCGGCAACTCGGAGCTCAACGAGTTCATGACGAGTGTGCGTACCCAACGTTTTAACACCACCTAAAGCGGTTCACACCACCTAACCTTATTTGTGGCAACTCGCCCATTTCCGCCACATTTCAGGCCCTGCAGCCCATGCTGGACCGATACACGCCGACATGGTGGACCAACTCCCACATCCAGTGCGTCCTGACGTTCCTGGTGCCGCAGTCTCCCGTCCAGTATAAGAGGGACGTGCTCACCTTCAAAGACGGCGGCCAGGCGTCTCTGGACTGGGCGCTCGAGTCCTCCCTTAACCTGGATCACCCCCTTAAACAGGACGCCCCCATCGCCATCATCATGCACGGGTTAGTGGGCTGCAGCGACAGCATGCGCTCTCTCTGCGCCGAAGCGCTGGCGCACGGGTATCGCCCCGTGGTGTTCAACAAGAGAGGCCACGGAGGGATGAAGCTCGCCACGCCCAAGTTGCAGGCCTTCGGCTGCGTACAGGATTTGCAGGAGGCCATTAACCACGTCGAGAGCGCTTATCCTGACAGTGAGCTCTACGGCATTGGGTGCTCGGCCGGGGCCGGTTTACTGTGCAGTTATCTGTGCGAGCTCGGGGACAAGTCGCGGCTTCGCGCTGGAGTGTTGATCTCGCCCGGTTACAACGCCTTCGACCTGTTCTGCCGCGGCCGGATTAATCCTGTATACGACTTCCTCATGACGTTCACGCTCAAGTCCTTCCTGCTGCGCCACAAGGCCGAGCTGGCGGACGTCGTGGACGTGCCCAGCGCCCTACGCGCCACTAGAATCCGCGAGTTCGACCGCCACGTGTACATGAAGATGCACGGCTACGAGGACCTCGAGTCGTACTGGCAGGTTAACAACCCCATGCGCGACGTGGATAACCTGTCCATGCCGCTGCTGTGCATCAACGCGCTGGACGACCCGGTGTGCACCAAGGAGACCATCCCGTACCACGAGTTCCGCAGGAAACCCAACGCCATGCTGCTAACCACGGGCGAGGGCAGCCACTGCGCCTTCTTCGAGGGCACCTTCCACCTCAAATCCTGGTGCAACGAGGCCGCGATGACGTATCTCGACCGTCTGCGCGAGTTCAGCGCTGCCAGCGACAGTGACAGCTTAAGCGTCCCGGAGATCCCGACGACTGCTACGACTGCGTAGACAGACACAAAGGACGGCCGTCCTAGATCCCTGAGCTGTAGCTCTAACGTACATATCAACTGTCGCTATATATTTTTTTTCGTGCAGGGGACTGCAGTTTCTTACTTGGTAAGACCACGATACCCGTCGTCTTCGTAGTAGTCGCACGTGTACTGCGCGCTGCACGCTGCAGCGGTGGACGGGTAGCCGGGGATCCCAAGCGGAGCGATGACGTTCCTGCCGTTCGAGCCGCTCGAGTTCAAGGGGACGCAGCGGAAGAAACAAGCGAAGAAGGTCATGAACGCGGAAGAGGAGGAGGAATCGCTCTTCGGTTTGCCGTCCGAGTCCTTTACGATGTCGAGCGTGTCGAAGGAGAAGGCCGATTCCCCCACGTTCCGGCGCATAGGCGAGCTCTCCGGACTGCCATCGATGTAGTCGGGTCCTGATCGCTGGCGCAGGGACGAATCCTCCTCGGACGAATTGTCGTGCGCGTCCGAGTCCCAGTCGGTGTCGGAATCTCCGCGCGCGCTTTGAATCGCCTCGCCCAGCAGCGCTGACAGCCGTCGCGCGTCCGTCTTGACCTCGTGCAGCTTGCTCTTGACAGCCTCACGCGCCGCCAGCTTCTCCTCGCGCTCCTTCATGGATCGCTCGAGGTCCTCGCTGGTCTTCGCCTGGGTCAGGATTTCGTCCTCCACGGCGTTCACCCACCGCTTGCGCTCCAGCGTCGAGCGCGCTCTGCACTTGACGTGCTTGCCAGGAACCACGTGAATCGAGAACTCGTTCGCGGAGCTCTCGTTGTCTCCGTCAGCTACTGAAATGCCCAGGAGTTCGTACACAGCTACAGGCGTGGGGGCTTCTCCGGACGAAATAGCTTGGGACTGGTTGGCGTACACAAGCCAGTGAGAGCCCATGACGACGCAGTAGCGCGTCTTCCAGAGCTTGAGCGGCTTCATCTTCATGGTCTTCTTCTTCTTCTCGGCCGACTTCTGCGCGTCTTTCAGTTTCAAGTACCCCTCCATCCGAGCGCCAGGGATGAACGGCAGCGTGGCGTCACGTGAGACCGTGTTCCCCGTGGTCTCTTTGGTTGTGGCGGCCGTGATTGCAGTTCTCCATCGAGACGCGTCGTCCGCAGTGGCTGCAGTGCACTCCAAGTACACGCCGCTGCTCGTCTCGACGCGAAAACCGGTACCTTTCAGTCCGCTGCCGCCACTCCGTCCGATAGTCGTGAACACTGGACGCCACTTCTCCACCCCAACGAGCTCGTGCTCCTCCACTGCGGTGTTCAAGTTGTCGTCCTCATCTTTGGCCTCGTCATCGTCGCGATCCTCCGCGTAAATCGACAGTTTGCTGCCTTCCAGCACCACGAAGCGGTTGCGCCAAATGGAGCCCAAGTTGTGGTGTCGGACGCGTAGATGCCCCTCAACCTTTGTCGAACTCGCGTCTGCACCAACGATGGCGTTGGCTTCCGCTGCTGCGGTGCTTGCAGCGATGCTGGCCAGATGCGCGGCCACTTCTTGGGTGAACTGCCGCTCCGAGATGCTCAGCGATCGCTCGGCCACTACGAAGTTGAGCTCGTGGTGAATGGCGTGGATCCACTGGTGCTTGGCCTCGATAGTCAGCGCCGTGAAGCAGATGCCGTGACGGGAGTTCTTGACTTCCATCTTGAAGCCTAAGTTCTCGTTCTCCTTGCCAATCGTCAGCCACGACGCGTTTGGAGCTTCCCACGGAGTGCACGCTACGATCTCAACATCAAGCGACGGAGGTTCGTCTTCAGCTGGCGGCGACAGGAGATTCCTCGAGGATTTAGCGGCAGCGGCACCCGCGGCAGCTTCGCGTGAGGAATAACACCTCAAGCGACAACCGATGAGCACGGCGTACACGGACATCATGGGCTTCATCTTGGAGCTACCAGGCAGTCGGATCGGAGAGGTCGAGGTCTGCCACGGGGTCAAAAGTCCCTCCATAGCTGCTGCTCGGAAGACGAAGGATGCTGCCGCCTCGCTCTGCGGCGGTAAAGTCTCTTTGGCTTCTTCTGAAGGGCTGGAGACGTCGATGTCGATCGTCAAGGGTTTGTCCTCGAATCCGCTATCGTCGGAGCTGTCGTCGTCGTCGCTGTCACTGCTGTCTTCACTCTCGCCAGCTTCACCTCCGGTTGCAGCAGATTCATCGACCCCCGCCTCTATATTCTTCTCCTCGACAACTTCTTGCGCTCGTTCTTCTTCTTCTCGTTCCAGCTTGAGTATGATCTTCTCGTCGGCGAGCAGCGCTTCCCCTCTGGTAAAGTCGATGCGGTTGGCGAAGGCCTCCATCCAGAGATCGCGTTGCGACGGCAGCGTCGGGAAGAACTCGAGCATCGCCGTGTGTTCGTCGTGGTCGTTGTTCAAGTCGTCTGCGGACGCGTTGCCGTCGCCTCTCAAAGGATGGAGCAGCACAGCGAACGCCAAGGAGGAAGGGACCACCTCCTTCGCCCCCGGGAAGAAGTGACGGAGCGTTGACTTCGTCTTGGGACTGTGAGTCGACACAGCAATGGACGCCACGCCCTCGGACAGCAGCTCCACGGCTTGAGCTTCACACGCTGGCGCGTCTTGACGGTAGTACGCGCTCTCGTCCTCGTAGACGGCGATATGCGCGCGCATGTCCAGCACCACGAAGCCTTCGTGGGGAATCGGCACTTGAGAGGCGTGCCGAGCTTCTCCAGAGGAGAGCGGGGACTGAGCGAGTCGGAAGGCCAGGTATCCTGTCATCGGAGGCTCTTCTACCTCCTCCTTGTGCTCCACAAGTACAGGTTGTGGAGGGACAACGACGCCTCCGTCCTCGTTGAAGCCTCGTTCTCGCTTGTCGACCAAGCTCCTGCGACCTGGAGACATCGGCGCGGTGGTCTCCAATAGCTGCTCCTCCAGCATCTCAAGCGCTGCTGCCTGTTCGGCTCCGAGACGAAGCTGGCGGATCCACTTGGCTCGCTCAGCGTCGGTGGCTGCGCTGCAGCTCAAGACGAATTGCTCCTGCGTCACGATCTGGAACGGGAAGCGCGGCGCGCGGTTGCTCGCGGTCACAGGCCAACAGCGAGCGCTTGGAGCCCACGCCCGAGTGCTGACGACCCGGAATCGCGCCTGCTCAGCGCCGACTTTCTCGGACGACGTCGACTTGGTGATGACGAACTCGTTGCCGTTCTCCAGCGCCACGGCGCGCTCCTCGATGGGCATCGCCACCTCTCGTCGCTTCCAGTGCTCTTCCTGGGCGCAGTTAAAGTCCAGTCTCAGCAGTAGGAAGCCTCTCGCGTCCACTACGACGCTGCTGGCTCGAGATCGTGGGTCCATACTGGTGTCGTCGGCCAGCAAACTCTGAGCCAGCACCGTGTCTAGTGCTGCGCGCAACACCTGCACCCACAGGCGCTTCTCCATGGTATCACGCGCCTCGAATCGCAGCCACTCGTGGTCGCTCGTCTCCACAGCGAAGCGATTCGCGGCAGATTGGCGTCCGTCATCGTCTTTCACGGCCAGTACAGTCATGCTTTCACCCAGGCCAGCGCCTCCGCTCTTGAATCCCTCGCGCGTGGCGAAGAGATTGATCGTTAATCCGTCCACTGCAACGTACACCGTCTGCGCGCGCTTCCAGAGCGAACTGGTGTTGTCTCCCATTGTCTTCTTCAGGTACCCGTCCAGCTTCAGCGTCGCGAGAGCTGTGGCTTGTTCCGGTAGCGGAGGCAACAGTGACAGCAGACTCTCATCCGCTGCTAAACCTGTCCCGTACGCCTCGTCGATAGCCTGCAGCAGAGCTAACTCGCGCTGCGCGTAGCAACTCAGCAGCAGATCCAAGTCCGGCAGCTTCGCGGGGTTTCGCACGCGGTAGAAGTCTGCCAGCTTCTCTCGGAATTGCTCGCGTAGCTGCCGTTCATGCTCGTTGCCGTCCTCATCCTCAAGCTCAGCTCGGCGCAGCTCATTGCGAGCGAGAGCGATGCCCCGACGGAACGCGTCGACCCACTGCTGCTTCTCCTTGGCCGATGACGCAGCGCAGAAGAAGGTTTTGCCGTCCGTCGTCTCCAGCTCCATGCCGTGCTCGTACGTATGAGCCGCAGTTTTGCCGTGCCAATCGCCCACGACCTCAACGCGGAAGTTGCCCAAGGGGTTCGTCGTGGCGCCACCGCCAGGATTCTTGCTGTCGTCGTGCGTGACAAAGTACGAGAGTTCGTTGCCCACCAACACGCAGTATCGCTTCCGCATGGACGGGATCTTGTGGCCGCGCTTCATGAGGTACCCTTCCATCAAGATCACTGGCGTTTCAATCGCTGGCTTGGCTGGAGACGCGCTCTGGTGCTCTTCGGCGTATTTCGCAGCGAGATCGGCGCACAACGACGTACACACGGGGTCTGTGGCGAGGTTGCTCTTGTAGACCGTGTCGATCTGCTCAAGCAAGGCGCCTTCGCGTCCCTGAAACGAGTGGAGCAGTGAATCCACGTCGGACGCTTTGTTCGGGTTGTGCTTCTCGTAGAAGACGACGATCTTGGCTCGAAGCTGCTGGAAGGAGCTGCCTGAGTCCTCCTCCTTCTTCTCATCAGACCCCACATCAACCACAGGTTTAGACTGATTCGCTACGGCAGCGCGCAACGCGTGGATCCAGTCGTGAACGATCTCAGCAGCGTCCGAGCGTAGCATGATGACTCCGTTGGTCTGAGTTTCAAGGCGGAAGGCCATCGTCTCGGCCAGTTTGGCAGTGACCGGATGGAGACCCACGACCTCGTCGGACAGCAGAGCTGAGCGGCCGCTGTGAGCCACGACGCTACTGTCGAAGCACTGCCACCTGGTGCCTTCCAGCACGCAGAAACACTTGCGAAATGAAGCGCCGAGTCGCGGGTGCTTGACAGCCAAGTAGCCTTCACGATGGATCGAGACACTTTGAGCACTCGGACGCGCGTTTGGAGGCGACGGCTGAGGAAGGAACGCAGCGAAGCTACCGTCGGAGCTGACGCTCGTACCGTACGTTGCATCCAGCGACGCCAACAGCTGACGCTCACGTCCTGCGAAGCTTGTGAGCAACGTGTCCACATCGCCAACTCGTTTGGGGTTGTGTCGCTGGTAGAATTCTACCAACTTCTCCCGAAGAGTAGTGGCTTGCGTGGATATGATCAGCGGAGGCTCGGTCTCCTTGGGCACAACGACTGGTGAAGGTTCTACCTTGGGACTCGGCTCTGCTGATGCTGCAGTATTGACTGGTGCTGCTGTAGTGAGGCCACTTCGAAGCTTCAACATCCACTTCTGCTTGGCTTCGGCTGTAGTGGCCTGCAGTACCAACAGCTCGGTTGACGATGAACTGCCCTGCTGCTCCGTTCCGTATCCACCAGACAGGAAGAACTGGAGCTGCTGATCCGCCATAGTCGAGCGATTCATCGTCGGCGACGGCGTCGGGTAGTCGTGAACTCCCGTCACCAAGAACACCGCCAACGGTGGCCCAGCCCCACTCTGCTCCTCCGAGTCATAACGTTCCAGTCGACTTCCAGACAAAACGCAGAAGCTTGGACTAGAGTCTTTATTCCACGTGAGCCAGTCCGTGAGATCCCCGGACGTTCGGGTTGCAGGTGACGCAGGAGCACTGTGAGGTGAAGGAGCTGCTGGATGTGGCGATGGGGCCTGTACCAGCGCTGACAGGATAAGCTGAACCCTGCTGTCCCTGCCCATGGACGTGCCATACAGTCGATCCAAGTGCTCGACCAGCGCCTGCTCCCGACCTTGATACCGCGAGAGGAGCATGGGGACGTCACCGAGTTTCCCTGGATGATACTCAGCATAGTATCGCTGCAAAATTGAGAGGAATTCACGTCGAGCCGAGCCGTACGACGGCCGACGCTGCGGCTGACGGGTCTTTTCCTCGTCTTCGGACTCACTGGGCTGGTCGAACAACCTGGAGCCGCGCTTCGAGTCGTGCTGGTACTTGAGCAGCGCCTGTTGCACGCCACTCACCCAGCGGTTCTTCTCTTGGAGACTGGGCGCGCTGCAATATATGGTCTGGTGCTCGGTCGTCTGGAGCAGGAAGCCGTGGTCGTAGTGCATGAGCGTGGCGTGGCCGTCCCAACTCGAGACTCCGCAGGCGTGGAAGGTGGCGCTGCGTATTGCAGGCCGCTTCAGTGCCGACTCGGACGCAGCAGCAGTCGAAGCCTCTTGGTGTGTGGTGAAGACGTACAGTGTGAGCGCTCGTAATACGCAGTACTTCTTCTTCATGGTCTCTTCGAGCGAGCTCTTGCCGACGAGATAGCCTTCCACCACCACTTCGGAGGTCAAGGCTTCAGCTTCAGTAGCAGCAGCGGCGTCTGGAGGCTGCGGACTGGAGACGGAATCTGTATCTGCCTTTGCCTCCTCCTTCTTGGGCTCTTCAGTCTGTCGCTTGGGCGAGAGCGGCGTGGACGCGAGCAAGTCGAACGAGTCTCGACGTGACTTGGCAGCGCGCGCGCGATGCGGAGACAGCGGAGGCATGGTGAGCCCCACGTGCAGCGCCGAGATCCAGTCCTCTTGGCTCTTCTTGAGCGGCGCGCTACACCGCAGCGTCTTGCCCTCGACTGTGAGCACCGCGAACGCGTTCGGATACTGCTCGTTGACGTTGCCCTTGGCGCTGCCTCCGAACGGTACCACGAGTCTGCGCAGCGGCGACGTGGGCTTCATCTTGCCGTCCCATTCAGCCACCTCCGCCACGTGAAGAACTCCACTGGGCGCGTCCATCTTGGTCGTGTACGCGTCCTGGTCCGCGTACCAGCAAAGTGTGTTACCCGTCAGCACGTAGTAGCGTCGGTGCATCGTGGTGCGCATCGGGTGCTGGCACAGCAGATAGCCTTCGGCCAGCGGATCCAACTGCGACGGCCGCGTGTGTCCGCCGTCCGCGGGTCCGCTCTCGTCTTCCCAGGACGCCAGCCTCTTGGTCCGCTGCTTGGCGCGCTGCGCGTCTTCGAGGCTCTTGGCCGCCACCTGACGCAGGATCTTGCTCTCCTCCGCGCACTTCTGCACTCTCTCGACCAGCTCGAGCTGCTCACGCGCATTGGCCTCCGTCTGCAGCTGCAGCAGCTCGACATTGCGCGCGTGCGTGGCTTCGGCGCTGCCGGCCAGTTCGACTTTGGCCGCGAGCCGCTCCACCGCCTCCATGGCCTGGTCAAAAGATGACGTGTCCTCCGCGCCGATGGACGAGGCGTGGACGCGGTGGCGCGCGTCCTCCAGCGCGTTCTGCAGCGCCTGCAGCTTCTGTAGAGCTTCATGCTGGAGCGCGCGCGCCGTCTCCAGCTGCGTGTTGAGCTCGACGGCGATCGCGCGGTTCTGCTGCAGTGCGGCTTCGGCGTTGGCCTGCTCTCGGTGCTGTCGGCCGGCCGCCTCGACGGCCTCCGTGGCCTGCTGCACGGCGCGACTGTGCCGCTGCGCGTCCTTCAGCAGCTCAGCCTGCACCTCGTTGATCTCGTCCTGAGCCAGGCGGTCCGGTTCTTTGAGCGCGTGCTGCAGGGCCTCGAGCCACACCTGCTGCGTCTCCCTCGAGTCGGCGCGACATTGGAGCGTGCCGCCGCCGTCCGCGTCCAGGAACTTGAGCACGATGTGCGGCGGGTGCGCGGCGTCCGAGGACGGCGTGCCCGGCATGATGCGGAAGTCCACGACCTCCAGCACGCGCTTGGGCACAGCCCCGGAGCGCTGCGCCTCGTCCTGAGTGACGAAGAAGGACAGCATTGTGCCCTTGAGCACGGCGTAGTGGCGCTTCCTGCAGGCGGACAGGAAACAGTGGGGCCACATGCAATGAGGGACAAGGAGACGGACGCGCCCCGGTGGTTCAGTTGTGCACGTACATGCTGGGCACCTTGCGGCCCTTCTTCCAGAGGTAGCCCTCCATCGCGGCCAGCTTGCAGCACTACGAATCGTAGTACGATGCCCAAAGGATCCGATATGTTAGTTGAACAGGCGTGAGGTTCTAAGGTCGCGATCCTGGAGCGGCCGTTATACTTCAACTACTAGTTTTTAGGCTCCGCAGGACCACCATGCCATGCCCATGATCGGCTCGTGACGTTGCGGATGACAGCACAGCATATCCTAGATCTACATCATGCACCCGTTGTAACTAATAACAGGATGCGTGTTGCTCGCCGCCCGCTGGTCGATGCACTTCAACTTGTTGTGGGTCACCCGCACCAAGAGCGAGGATTTGACGGTCTCTGATACCGCCTGGCGCCGCTGGTCTCTGTGGTCGACGCGCACCCGCGTGTTGGCAATTATCACGCGCTCCCACGTCAGCACCTGGCATTCTCGAGAGTCTCGCCATCAAATGTTCCCTTTATGCTAAAATGATGTTGTTCAGCAACCTTAACACGGATGTGGCGACCGTGGGCAGTGTTAGTAAGAACCCATGAAGGTGCAGCAATTTACTGAATAATTTACTGCGTCAGCACCGGGTCTTCAGATATTTATTTCTTCTCTTCTTGGTATGCAAACAAATACGTATTTCGTTAACTTGAGAAAATAGATATATATCGTATTTTCGGCATGCCTGCTCGAGACCCGCCAGACGCCCAGCGTTGATGCCTTGACCTGCGCAGCGTCCAGCTGCCTGGAGTGGGGCAACTTCGCTCCAAGGCGCTTGATCCACATTGAAAGAGTGGTAGGCCAGCGCGAGCGTTTGCTAGAGAGCGCGTCACTTGGGGAGGGATTGTTGAGCACGAAAGCACTGTCCTTACCGCGCGCTCGGGTGATCGAGGCGACTGAAGTTGCGGCGCTTTGCTCGTTCAACACCACGAACGCACCTTTGGGCGCGTTGGTCGTGGCCTCTATGCGGAGTTCCAGCTGCGTACTCGCCGCCTTCCAGCAGGCCAGGCCCCCCGTCAGTTGGTGGGCTACAAGCCAAAGCGCTTGTCAATTGTTAATTGATCACCGTCGCCCCATCGGCCATGAGAAGGATTCGCCACTCGGGTGATCGATTGAAGCGCTGTTGACTCACGCCTCGGCCCGCCGAGTCTATGAGCGGGCCCTCCTTCTTGGCCAGCCTGGCCCCTGCACGGCCAGGTGGCGCGCGCATTCCAAAGCGACGAGACGGCCCTCAAGCATTCGTCGCCGGACGACGGGACGAAGCACAGTCGCTCCTTTAGGCTGTTGGCGGAGCTCATGTCGCTCGCGGCCGGGTCACGTCAACTTGCACTTTCGAAATTGGCCCGCGACCAGCACAGCGACTCAGGGGCTCATTCATCTACAGGTCGAGCCAACGTCACTTCAGCCACTACTTGAGTCGGGAAGGAAGGACCATGCAGCCGTGGTCGCCGCCCGAGAACACCATCGTGCTTGCCGACCTGCTGAGACCCTCGGGCTCGCCGCAATCTCCGCACCACCAACAGCTCCACAACACGCAGCAGTCGATGATCTATGTCAAGGCAGAGCCCGAGTTCGTGGCCTCTCGACCGGTGCTGCCGCCGCTGCTGCCTCCTCGAGCGGCGATGCTGCCGGCTATTACTGATGTGCTCCGCTCTAACAGCCCGCAGCACCAGCACTACCACTACGAGAACCAGGAGAACACCAGGGCCATGAGCTTACCAAGCTACACCCAAGCACCAGCAGTCCGAGAGCAGTACGTGCCTGAGCCTACGACCTTCTCCGCCACGTTCATGAGTACGTGGCGTATGCTTATCGAAGTTGGTTTCTTAGGCTTACAAGGCAAACACTAACTCAATTGTAGCTCGACCCAACAACACAGACTACCGCAAGCGCAGCGGCCTCGCGCTCCCGAGTCTTCCCGGCCAGCCTCCATACGCTGCCACGGGAGACATGACACCTCCAGGACTCGTCGGAGCAAGAACCCGGCCCATGACAGACGTCTCGCCAGCACGAGCAGCAGCGACACCGCGGCCAGCCAACCGCGTCTGCAAGTTCGCAGGCTGCACCCACTACGTCGTGGACCACGGTCTTTGCGTCAGGCACGGGGTGCGTCGCCGCTCGTTGATGGCCGTCTTCGCGCTGCGTCTTCATCCTTCTAACCTCTTTCAATGTGTATGTAGGGTGGCAAGCGCTGCAGTGCGGAGGGCTGTTCCAGCCGCGCCAAGCACTTCGGACGCTGCTGGAAACATGGTGCGGAGGTGCTTCCATTGCTCTCTTGTCCCCAGTATTCTCAATCCTAAAGCTTGTATTGTACCCATGCAGGCGGATCACTAGAGTGCAAGGCTTCTGGCTGCTCGAACCGCGCCAAGTCGCGCGGCTACTGCTGGTCCCACGGCGGCGGCACCAAGTGCAAGACAGAAGACTGCGATAAGATCGCCATCTCCAATGGCCTGTGCTGGGCCCACGGAGGAGGTACGAGTTCTAGTCACCTGAGTCTTTTGCGTAATGCTTGACTGACTGAGGTGATCCTTCCCGCAGGCAAGCGCTGCATCGTGCCCGGATGCCGGAAGCAGGCGTACGAGCGGACCTGGAACTACTGCAACAGCCACTTCCAGCAGTACCAGAAGACGGCGCTCGAGTTGGCCAGGCACAACCACGGAGCATGAAGCATGGATGGATTCAGTGTAGCTATTTATTCGGCACGTCCTACGCCAAGTGCTACGCGCATCTTCCACTTCGACTTCGCCAGGATCACCATGCGGGAGCTGAAGCTCGGACGAGGTGATTACCGCTCATAGAGATTCACCGAAAAGGAGGCGCGTTGCGTAGAGGAGGGAGGGAAAGCCTGGAAAAGGCGTGCAAACGAGTAAATGTTAGTCGAGTGAGTTCTGCGAAATACAAGTTCATGTGCATCGTCATTTTCCGTCGCCGCTTCGCCATGATTGTTGACTTGGATGGTGTTAATGCACTTATGATCATTTCCGGACAACACGGACTCGATCGTCAAGTCAAGATGATGTCTTTACCTGGGAATGAGCCCGGGATGGTGCGGCCTAAAGATCGAGAACGGGTAGGAAACTGGAGCCGATGGGCTTTGTGCTCGTTTAACGACGCGGGACTGGTGGAGCTCGCAGTATTGCCTGGAGAGAGCGGGAGGCAACGCAAGCGCATGCCGCCGCAAACAAACGAAGCGAAACACGGACGTATGGATACCGTACCCACTGCAATGACAGACTATCGCGACCCCTTTTTGCTTGCAGTTTGTTGTCAACCACCTCACACGGTGGCCCTAATCAAAACTGTTTCCCGGTTTTGGCGATCCACGTACCGATGCAGTCGGTGCATACGGAAGTCTATAAGGTGTCCACTGGTTAATACATGTACTTGAGGGCGAGGAGCTTTGTACTTGAAGGTGACGTAGGTGTCCAGCCTGCTGTCTTTCGAGCCATGACGTTCTCATCGTCTGTTACTCGGGAGCACCACACGAGCTCGCGGATCTAGATGACAAGCTGTATCACCCACCCCCGCTGGCTGCTGTAGCAGCAGTAGGGGTAGGGAAGTCCAGGCTGTATCCTTGGTAGTCTGGCAAACTTGCTCTAATTGGCAACAACACAGCAGCGACGCTCCAGCAACCCAGGTCGACCAAAAAACGCAACGTCATCTTTGACGTGCTAGTGCCACGCACTTGGTGTACCACAACTGTACCATCTCATTTCCAGCTAATGTAATGTAATGTATTACGTTTTCGCGTTGCCACACTATGCTGTCGCTAGGCTCAGCTTTGCTAGTCGACGGCATAAGGTGGTGTCCGCATACGTCGGGCCCTTCTTCGCCGGCAGTGCGGCGACAATTGCCCTCTCGAGGGCTTTCCGTTTAGGTTTCTCTTGTGCAAGCAGCCGAAGTTGGTCCAGGTCTCGGCGGGTCTCGAGGCGATAGGCGTATCCGCTCGAGATAAGGTCCGCATCGAGCACAGTCGGTAGTGTCGTGCGTGGGCGTCCACGCCAGGTTCCCTTGGACGACGAGTCGAAGTAGGCGGCCATCTGGGTGTACGCTGGGATCTCGGGCCGGCGCAGGATGTGGCCGAACAGACGCCATCGTGCTGCTGTGATTCTGTGGCGGAGCGGGCGTTCCTGACAGATTTCGTAGAGCGTGGCGTTAGAGATTCGCTGAGGGTAGCGAATGTTTAGTACGCTACGTAGTTGTCGGCGGTGGAAGCTTTCGAGTCTGCTCAGCTCGGACGGCGTCAGTGCCCACGTTCCGCTGTTGTACAGCAGAACAGGAAGCACATAGCAGTTATACAGCCGGACTCTGGTGGCGTCACTGACGTACTGGGGCCGGATCCATATTGTCCAGAGCCGACGTAGCGCGCCTGCTGCGAGTATTTTGCGTCGTGTCAGATCTTCTGAGTCGCCGAGTAGACTGCCAAGCTTCTGTGTGGAGCGCCACGCCTCTTCTGTCGTCCGAGCGTGTCGGGAGTAGCCCGACGAGCCTGTACATCGCTGAATCATGGTTAGTTATGTCTTAGTTGCATTCATCTGGAGGGACCAGCGTGCGAACACTGCTGGTGCTTCGGCTTGGATGCGCTGGACCAGCTCGGTATCGCGGCAGACAAAGTCTGCATCATCAGCATAGACGATCATTTGGTCGAGTAGGGTCCGATTCACTCCGAGGTGGGATGCGAGGTCGCGTAACGCAGCTTCCAGGTAGATGACGAACAGGACCGGTGAAAGCGCATCGTCCTGCGGCGTTCCGATGTTGCTATCGAAGCTGTGTTGTGCCTTGGACCCGGAGCGCAGAGAGAGCTTGGTGTCGGCGAGCAAAACCTTGATCAATCGGACCTCGTCGTCGTGTAAGAATGTCTGGAGTACTTCTACAAGCTTTACGGGGTCGATTGTGTCGAACGCGCGCGAGAGGTCGATGCCGAGGACATGTATGGTTTTACGATAGCGTTGCACGCGGGCACAGAGCCATTTGTGCGCCCACACGGCGTCAGCAGTGCTTCTGTGTTTGCGGAATCCGCTTTGATTGGGGGACAGGAATGTGTCCACCGCAGCGGATATCCGTGCGAGTACGACGAGAGATAAGGCCTTGCGAATGCTGCTTAACAGCACGATGGGGCGGAGACTGGAACATTCCCCTCGGGGCTTGTTGGGCTTGGGCAGGCACACGAGTGTTCCTTCACCGAGTGCAAGGGGGGTGCCTTGCTCGAAGCTGCAGTTGACGAGGTCTGCGAAGAGAGGCGCGAGGACTGAAACCCCGTACTTAAGAAGTTCTGCTGGGAGCTCATCTGGCCCAGCGGCGCGTCCGTTGTTGAGGCGCCGAAAGGCTGCTTCGACTTCTGTTGCTGTAACAGGACGGGTTAGAGATCGCGGTTCACGATCCGGAACAGGATGTGGCCGCCCCGAGTCATAAAACAGCGTTCGGAAGTGATCTGTGATCACCTTGTTAGTAGTTTGTTACCGCAGGATAGATATACTTACCTTCTTGGTCGTGGAGTAACAGCGGTTGGGGTCGATGGGGGCTAATGTCTCGAACTGCTGCATACATTCGTGCCGAGTCGCTCAGATTTTCGATGCGTGTAATCCGCTCGTCCCGTTTGCGAGATGCGATGGCTCGGCATCGCGCTCGGATTTGATGGAGGATCTTGTTGCGGGCGGCTCGGAGCTCGATCGTGTTAGCGGCGCAGTCGTTGTAGATTCGAAGCTGAAGCGCCCGCTGGGCCTCAGAGAGCAGCTGAAGTTCATCGTCGTGATGTCGTACGTGGCGGTGGTTAGGACCTGCGAATCCTATAGTCCCCTCGGCTGCTTCTCGGATTCGATCGAGCGTGTCTGTCCAGCACTGGAGAACGGTGCTGCCTTGTGCTGTTGGCTGTGAAAGCGCTGCCTGGAGCGCGTTCGTGTAGTCGTCTCGTGCTGTGTCGTCGTAGATGAGATGATCTCGTGCTAACTTGAGTGCTGGATCTGGCTTGACCGCGCTGTAGCGGAGACGGTGAGTGGCCGCGTTCAGGATGAAGTCGGCGGTGACGAGCTTGTGGTCCGACGCCGTCAACGTTCCACCCCAGGATCGTGCGTCCATGCAGAGCCGTCGGCAGTTCTGAGGGCATAGGATATAGTCGATCTGGTTGTAAATACAGTGATTCGTCCGGCGCTGACTCCATGTTGTTTTGTGGCGGGCTCGCTTTTGAAAACCTGTGTTAGTGGCAAAGAGAAGGTGAGTAGAACACAAGTCAGCCAATGCGTGGCCGTTTCGGTTGCGTATGCCTCGTGTATGTGGTCCCATGAATGCCTCTCGGTGTCTGCGGGGGCTGTTGGGTCGGACTCGAGTACGGCCTAAAGCGTGGAGATCGCCTCACTGCTGAGGCAGGAGAGGATCGAATTCGCCAACGTGTCGTTCCTGCTGCGCCTGATCAACGGCTTCGAGATCCTGACGCTCTACCTGCTGGCGAATCTCCTCATCGCCGTTGATCTGTTGTCCGAGCTTGGCGTTGAAGTCGCCGGTCACGACCGCGATGTTGCGCCTTGGTAGTTGGTCAAGTGTGTCGCTGAGATCAGCGTAGAATCGATCTACTTCGGCGAGAGGCCGACCGCTGTGGGGAGCATACGCCGTGACGATGTTCACGGGGCCTGCGTGGGGGAGTAAGAGCTGAACGACGCCGATTCGATCGCAGTGTGCCCAATAGCAGTGTAAGTAGGGGCGGACGCGGGGGGAGATGGCAAAGCCGATCCCGTGGCGCTCCTGTACGGCTGGTAGTGTGAGTAGCGTGTAGTCTCCGATACGTTTCTTGTTGAGGGTGCAGATGCGTGTTTCTTGGATGCCGAGAACGTCGATGCGGTAGCGCCGGAGGTCCTGGGGGAGCGTGTCCTGCTGCTTGCGGGTCGAACCTAACGACTGGACATTAAACGAACCTATCCTAAAACGGTTAGTTTGATGCGCGCGGCGAGGAGAGCGCGATAAGAGGGTGGGAGGTGTAGTTGTCGCTAGTGCTGTCGGCTTGGGGGCGAAGGAAAGACCCGCTAGGGACGTACAGATGCCCGAGAGCACCTGCCGGAAGCGCGTAGCTAGCAACATGCTGGCCACGCGTTCTGGGGGAGGGCGTCACCCCAACCCCAACCAAAAATTCCAGCTAATCAGCAGCATTTAACCCGCTTTTTAACCAATAAAAGCGTCATATGTACATAGAAACGCGCGGGTCTATTACTCGACACGAAAATGTCCGCGTCATCATCGCTTGGAAACTTGCCTTTGTGTATACGCCCCCAAGCTCGGATGCCAATCAACAGCCCCCAGTCCGTCACTCTTCAATTTACCGACAACCTGACATCCCAGTCCACACTCACCATACCCAGCTACCGCGAGCTCCTGTGCACCAAGCTCTCCACCAACTTCCGCGAGGCGACAGAGATCGTGACGCACCCGCAGCTGCCGACGGCTAGCGCCGGCCACGTCGTGGTCAGGAACAAGTTCCTGGGCGTCAACGCCACGGACATCAATGTGACCAACGGCGTCTTCAACGATAACCCGCCGCCCTTCGGCACGGGCCTGGACGCGGCCGGCACCGTAGTTGAAGTGGGAGCGGGAGTCGCGGGCGACTACGTCGTGTACGACAAGTTCGGCGCCTACGCCGAGTACGTGGAGGTGCCCGTCGGATCCACCCACAAGCTGCCGGAGCTCTCCCCCGCCGCGCTGCCGCTGACTGTGTGCGGCATCTCGGCATCCATCGCCATCAAGGAGTGCGGCGAGCTGTCGACCAACGAGACGGTGTTCGTGACGGCGGCGGCCGGCGGCGCCGGTCAGTTCGTCGTGCAGCTCGCCAAGATGGTGGGCAACCACCTGCAGCAGCGACGAGAAGGCCGCGCACTTGAAGAAACTCGGCTGCGACCGCGTGATCAACTACAACAATGAGAGCATCGACGCCGTGCTCAAGAAGGAGTACCCCAAGGGCATCGACATCGCGTTCGAGACCATCGGCGGCGAGATGTTCAAGACCGTGTTCGACAACATGGCCATCCGCGGCCGCATCAACGTGTTCGGCCACATCTCCGAGTACCGCGGGGACAAGCCGCGCTCGCCCTTCACGGTCAGCGCCATGAACGAGGTGCTGCTCATGAAGGCCATCACGGTGCGCGGCTTCCTGCTGCGCACGTACGCCGAGATCATCCCGACGCACATGGCCAACCTCTTCAAGCTCATCAAGGAGGGCAAGCTGCTCGCAGGAGTGGACCCGACCGAGTTCCACGGACTCGAGCAGGTCCCAGACGCCATCGACCACATGTACGCGCGCAAGAACATCGGCAAGATCTTTGTGCAGCTCCCGTAAGCCTAGCAGCTTGAGAGAACAGCCCTCTAAATCGAAAGACAACACATTTTGCCGTACTCTGAAGCCCGAGTGTGTTGCTAGAACTTCTCTAACGAGAAAGGACGTAGAGACCCTCACTTCTCTTCTCGAGTGGCTAGCCACGTGAAAATCCACGGGAGCTCCAGTAGCAGTCTCGCAAAGAGAAGAGAAAGGTTGAGTACTTTCTCGCCGGAGAAATTACTCGAAGACCTTGGGCGATTCTCGGGTCTCTGGGCTCATTCCCGAACAAGCCGCGCAGTGCTCAAGAGCTCCCTCCACTCAAGCAAGACCCAACCCAAGTCCAGACAAGACCGACTCGCTCCAGTCCAATCATGACCTCCATCCTTCTGCGCGTCGTTGCTCTCCTGTCCCTGTTGGTGGTGCAAGCTCACGCGTGTGCCTTCAAGCAGCCCAACATGCAGCCAAGCGCGCTCGGACGCCACCTCCAGCGCCAAGAGAACGAGTCCGACCCAGCGACGACCGACTTTCTCGCCAAGACCGACGGCGCTGAAGACTTGTCGAGTGTGGCGGCGTTCATCGATGCCCTGGTGGAGACTGAAGAGGCCACGACGGACTCGCCCTTCTACTCCAACTGGTCGACCGCGATTCGTCACCGCGACGATGATGCCGACGAAGCCAACAGCGACGAAGACACTGAGTTCGAAGACGTCGGAGTTGAGCTCACGCCGTCTCCGGAATTGAACATGGCGGACGCGTCTGCTTCGCTGGAAGATGTAGCTGGATCGGCGGTGTTCAACTCAAGCGGTGACCAGGAACCTATGGTCGGCGACGACGATGCCAACATGGCGGACGGAAAGGCGGTTCCCAGCAACTCGGCGCCGCTGCAGCTCTCCAGCGCCATTGCTGCGTGGATCATCGCGTTCGCTATCGCTCTCGACATGGCGAATTAAGCCGCCGCAGACACAAACTTCCTCCCGATCTCCAAGAACAAGCTCCATGTACAGATACGTGAATCCGACGAGCTAACGTAGCATTAATCCAGACGAGATCAGTAACACAACACGAACGTCATCGTATCCTTCACTCCCCGCCTCAACAGTAAAAGATCGTGCGGCTTCAAATCGCTCTCAAGAGGCGCACTCACTCACAACTTGCTCTACGTCATGTCCAAGGCCTGTTTCGTCAAGCTCACCTCCTGTGTAGCTCTGTTGTTGCCCACTGCATTGGCAGTCTTCCCTCCGGCACTCATTCCTCCTACAGTCGAAGCCATCTACGATGAGTTGGTGAAAGATTTCAAGCACGACGTGACGGACGACGCCAAGAAAGCAGGAGAAACCCCCTCAGGCGGACTGGGGATCCTCGTAATTGACCAGCAAGTGAGCTTCCACCCCGGAGGTTCAATGGCAATTCCTTCCGCCAACGAAGACGCCGCTCGGATCGCAGCCTTCATCACCCGGAGCTGACCCAGGTGGTGCTGACCATGGACTCACACCCACGATACCACATCGCCAACAGCATCTTCTGGAAGAACGCCACGGGGGATTCTCCCGAGCCGTTCACGTCCATATCGTCGCAAGATCTCAAGAATGGAGTGTGGAAACCCCGCGATGAAAGCTTGAGCGACTACGTCTTAGCGTACACGCAGTCGTTGGAGGCGAATGGGAAGTTTTCGTTGACAATTTGGCCCGAACACTGCGTCATTGGGTCCCCGGGGCACAACATCGAGCCGAATGTGCTGTCGGCTGCATTGGAGTGGACCAAGACGTCGTTGAAACTGGTTCAGTACGTGATGAAGGGCAGAAACCCGTTCACAGAGCACTACCCAGCTCTCAAGGCGGAGTACGAACTGCCGTACGACCCATCTACGAGGTAACGTGGTAGATATGCTCATGAGTTTTTGATGTGACAGCAGTGAATTTTTGTTGGGTTCTTGCAGTCTCAACAAGGCCTTGATCAAGTCGCTGCAGCGTGCTGATAAACTCGTCATCGTCGGTGAATCTCTCTCGCACTCTGTGAATTACAACGTCCGCGACCTCGTGGCTGCGTGGCCCAGAAGCGACTAAGCGACCTGGTGCTATTGACGGACTGCTCCTCCCCAGTACCGGGTTTCGAGAAGCCAGCCAAGGTGCCATTCGAACAGTTTGCATTTGCGTGAAAGCGTATAACCGTCCGTCGCTGTGGAATGTAGGAGTTCTTGCGTGACATGACCGCAAAGGGGGTGACCTTGACAACCGCGGCTGAGTTTATCATGGGAAAATATGCAAGGTACGCTCGTTTAGAGGGCAAGTTCTAAAGTTACACTCAATTCTTGACATTGACTTTGATGCAGCGCGCTTTGACTTCTGCAAAGACGGATGTAAATTCCAGTTAAACGCGCATCGTTCGGAATCAGCGCGAGTGGAACGCCCCAACAGAGCTAACCTATATTATTCAGAGTCTGGTCCAAATCTGGTCGTTCGAACTGCGGAAAACTGGTAAGACTTCAATGGTATACAGCGAGCACATGCTTCATGCCACTTTAGCCGCCTTCTGCATCCGCGCTTGGCTCTCGCGACGCTGCAGCACCAGCGACTTGCCCAGCAGCGTCACGTGCGCCGCGATGATGAGCACAGTGAGCTGGAACTGCCGCTCCGGCGAGAAGTTCTTGGCGCCCCAGTGGCTCGTGTGCAGCCCGTAGAGCATAGTGGCGACTCCTCCAACGTAGACCAGCATACCTGTGAGCACGTGAGTCTCGTCCTTCCACTGCCAGTTGGCCTTCACGCCCTCGAACGTGAGCAGCAGCCCCTGGAACACGTTGAGCGCGAAGAACATGCCCGTCACCAGCGCTGCCCACGAGTGGGGCGTCGCGAAGTGCTGTTGGCCAGCGTCTCGCTTGGCGATGAAAGCTGCGCCCCCTGCAGCAGTCACTAGCAGCCCAGCCGCCAAGTTGAGCAGCAGGTGGAGCTTGGTCAACCACACTCTGTGGACACAAGCAAGAAGAGGCCGTAACTCGGTCAATACTGCACAGATTTCAACGCGGAAGCGCTCACCACGAACCTCTTTGCGTGGACCTTCTCGTCCTTGCGTAGCAGCATCGCCTGCAAAGCACTACATGGAATGCAAACCACCGGAACACAAGGCGTCAGGGGGCTGCAACAGCACTCAAAAGGCGAGCCTTGTACTGTACCTGGGCAGACACACGAGCATCGCCAGCGCATTCAGCGCCGGGTGCAACGCAAACAGCGAGCCGTCGGCCACGCAGCGCCCCAGGACGGCGACCAGCGGCAGCAGGAACAGCGCCGCCGTCAGCGCCAGCTCCGACCGGCGCGCCATCGTGTCAGTCGGTATCAGGAGCGCCTGAGTTTTGACACGAACAAAGATGGTGTGCGGCACATCGATGTAGCCATGATTGCGTACCGCGCCCTACGTAGTTCAAGAGGCCTTCTTCATTGAAGAAGGTAACAGCCGGTTTTAGCCGGTATACCGAATTTAGACTTGGCCATCGGCCTGACATTGGGGAAGGCCTCTTGACATTTGTATGGCGTAAATACTGGCGACGTGGACGGGGCGGTTGAGCAAAGCCGACCCATTTTATAGGCACTATCGACGCCGCCGGAACAAATGTGCCTGGCCACAGCGATTGAGGGTGGCTTATTTGTGAAATGAGCTGCTTATTTCGAAGTTCAAGTTCGACGTATACTTTGCCCCCGACACCTTCGGGCCTTGGATCGGAGTGCCGCGAGCTCGCCTCGATGAAGCGTAGCTCTGGTTCACCATGCCATAGCCGCAGGCGGGCGCGGGTATGCATATACAAGGACTGTCCGTGCGTGTGTGCGCAACAGGCGCCGTCTCGAAGGCAGTGGGGCGCCCTCCAAGCTGTCTGCGAGGGCATCTGTAGCAGCTATGAGATCGGTAGCATGCGTGTTGCCTATTGTGCTGCCGTCGCGTGCCTAATTCGCTAGCCCGCACCTAGCGGCCACCAACGCCACCTCCGAGATACCATCGAGGGCGCCCACGGGGTAAGCAGTTCGAGTACTGGCACACGAATCGTTGCGCCCAAGTGCCGTCTACAGAAAAGTTTTCAACGTGCAGGCTGATGATGCTAGACCCGTCATAGTAGGAATCGTGAATGACTACAACACTTGGATAAGAGTGGGGTCGAACATCCGTCGGGGACATTAGAAAGCGGGACCTCGGTTTGTCTCCTTCCCAGGAGCAAGGCACGTGCATCATCATCATGATATCAATTTGTACTTCCGCGTGTAAACTGCTTCGAATGATACCCAAGAAGAAGAAGAAGACAAAAACCTATCTCATCGCTGCATACGTCTAAGTCATGCATCAGTTTTTCCCCGCACAGCCGATGTTGTTGAGACGAAAATATATGAATGCGTCTCGCCCTTTTCAAAAAGATAATTTGATTCTCTCTTTCATTGTTATGGTCCACCTGAAACGAATCATGGTAGTCGGCCGTTTTTCCTATCGACACTTCAGTCGAAATGGTGTCAATTAACTCGACCTGCTTCTCAAGTCTACAAGTCTACTGTAGACGAGCGAGCCCAACTCACCGAGGCTGACCTTGCCGAGGGTCGTGAATAAAGCATCGAAATAATCTTTTCGTACTATAGTTTTAGCCAAAACCTATTAATTCAGTTAAGCGAAGATCAACATCGTGCCCGAACAAAGCAATTCAAGAGTAGTTTCCTAAAAAAATCCAATTGTTTTAATGTGAGCTACCATTCTCGGGATCCATAGAATCTGAAGTGCGAACTGTTCATTGGCCAGTGGCCAATACATGTGCACCGCAACTCATCCACACACCATCACCTCGTAGCTCCTGCTCGTGTCAACCTGAAACTAATGCGGAATGAACTTTCCAACATACTGCGTCACGCCGATGTCAGCTTCCGCCGTCTCGGGCGTACTCGTGTAGGGTTGGTTGGTAAAGCCATCGTAAATGCCGCCCGAGACAATGAACAGAAGCAAGTGCGTATAACCTCGAAATTCTTCGCGCCTCGACAAGCCCTGGTAAAGTTCGCTCAAGCGTTCGTACTGGATCGGATGCGCTCTGTCTGCTGCCATTTGGACGTATATAATACGACGATCGGCTGGGACAACCAGCACTGCGTCGATTGCTGGAAAAGTCGTCGCAGCCGGAACACACAGCGTCGGTTCACATTTGGCAATAGCGTACGAGCCAAATTCGATCATTGCCGCATTCATTTGTTCCAGTGGTCTCATACGAAACTTCTTTGAGGTAAGGTATTCCACGAGGAATCTCTTGCTCTGTTCTCCTCTCAGTCGAACATGATCCAAGCCTCGCAGGCTGCAACAACTCGCGAGCATCGTATAGCGACGTTCGATAACGGTGACATGCGATGACCAACACAGCCAAAGACGAGTACCTCAAATAAAGACGCCCACGCGATTCCTTGCTGCGATTCAAGTGGAACAGAATGTGTATCATCCTGTCGTTGAATCTGAAATCTCCAGCCTGGAAACGCCACGCCAGTTCTTCTATACTGTTGTCGTCATCGGGAAGACGCACTTGACGCGGTCCACCAAGGTCTCGAAATCTAAACAGAAAGAGAACACGAGTCTGGGGATCCCCCCCAACGAGGTTGAATATGTGGTGCCACTCGTCCGGGTCCTTTAATTCAATTTGGTCGGCAAAGGTCTGGCACTCAGCCTTGCTCCATGGGTTCATGTACACCGTGATGCACGAATCCTTCTCGAAATGGTGGTAATTCTTCGTGCAGGGGCTAGCGAAGAGGAACGTATGGTGAAAATGGCTATAGTCCAAAGCCCCACCGCACTCGTTACCATCGAACAAGCCTTCGTACTTTTTACCAGCGAGCGGCATCTCCGGGATCTCGTAGCCCTTTGAGCTATTCCAGTTGAAGTAGTAGGGACACGATTCGCGAAGAGAACGGTACGCAATGTCCCTCTTCTCCGTCATGAACACGAGCAACAGAAACACTCCAAAAACCTGCCAATCCCGGGACTGCCCAACACTAGGCACCTGCATATCCAGTTGCGCGACGCCATTCGCGTCTTGATCAGGTTGTGGAGATCCCAGTACTCCTGTCGGATGTACAAGCCATTGCAGAGTGCGGTGCTGAAGACCGCCTTTGGGAGCTTCAGTAACCTTCCCACAGTCAGATCCGCCTCACGATCGAGTTGCTGCCCAAATTCGATTATAGCAGGTGGCGCGACATCCGTCCTTCTCCGTTTGTCGCCTACGACCACCTTTGAAGGTTGAACTGAGGTCGGCACTCCCACCAGCAAATGAACGGATCCCTTCCCAGCCGCAATATCTTGCTCACTCAACGCAACCCGCCGTTCTTGCTCCTCCGATATGCCAGCAGAGTCGGTTGGCTGCATCATGCCGCTAGTGTCGCTCCATCCTTCTTAGTGACGAATAGCAGCAGTTTGTTCGCGTCGCATGTGATCGCTGTCGGATTCTGATGCTTGATAGCGGCCTTTAAGTCACCCACGGACGTGCCCGCGTCAATGTCGATGGGGAACACGCTCCTGTCCGAGCTCACTCCGCACCAGAAAGCCACCATGTTTCTTCAAGACGGCCGATTTTGCAGTGCGAAGACGGATTGTCGGAATCCGCATCCCTCTTTCAGACTTGAGAGAAAATAACCATTCATCCTGTGGGAGGCATGATGGCTATATTCCTCGTTAATGTGGAATGAGGCCCTTCCCCAAGTCGTTGGCGTTCAAGATCGATAACGACATGGGCAATGGAGTGTGAATTTGATGTTCGTACTTGCATTAATACTCTGTCATAGACACTGTTAATGCCCCGCGATCGATATCCTCAAATATGTCGTTGATTTTCCACTAGACAGAGCCCGCACCCGCCGACTGCAGCTCTGCATCCTCGCAGCTCTTGCCTCGTCCGCCATGCTGCGGGATGTACCAGCAGTGCTTGATAGCAATCCCGCCAACTACCGTCGCGTCCAAGTCTTTCGTCATGGACCAGCTATCGTCGAACGTGTTGAAGCTCACTTTCAACCATGTGGGCGACACATTCAGCGAGAAGAAGCCGTACGGGTAATGGCCAGCCGACCAAACGTTCTCCACATAGTCCTCAGCATACGGCGGTATGCCGCTGGGGGACTCGTTTTGGATGCCACCACCCGCTCCGTTCTCAATGAAGTGCGTCTTGAACGCCGTATAGTCGTGCTTCTCGCCGTGTGTGTGGCCGTACAGGAAGAGCTGGATGCCCAAGCCGTCCAGCAACTCGCGCCACTTCTCAGCTGGACCAGGAGCGTAGTGATTGTACGGCGAGTAGTGCGTATTGACGATCTTCCAGTTCGCAGTGGAGGCCTTCGCGGCCTCGACGAGTTTCTTGCGCGAGTCTTCGCCCCAGGCTTGTAGCTTGTCCATACACGCGTCAAACATGCCGTTGTTTCCTCCAGCGCACAGACTGTCACCGCGCTTGACGTTTTCGCACGCGTCGTCGTCTTTGCCCGAGTATCCGTAGCATTGACAGCAGATCTGTTGCGCGCCGTGGGTGTCAGCGTCGTTCGTGTCCAGGTTGAAGATGTCGATGCTCACGTTCGAGGCCGGGTCGACGATGGAGTGGACGAAGAAGTGGTCGGGCATGAGCCAGCGGTTGTCCTGCGGACTCACGTACTGCGACTGCAGCTCGAACTTCCGGTCCAAGGCGGCCAGCAGCTCGGCCGTCGAGCCGCATTCCGTTGCCAGCTCTCCGTTCGAGCACACGAAGCTGGCGCCACCGTAGTCGTGATTCCCCATGACGTTCACCCACGGGATCCCAGCCAAACTCGCGGTGTTGTACTTGTCCTCGAACGTTTGCTGGAAGCGATAGGCCTGGTCCGTCGAATCGTGCAGCCCGTCCCAGTAGAAGTTGTCTCCGTGACCGATCACGACGGAAGGACGAGGTTGGGCTGCCGCTGCAGCTTGGCCCAACAGAATCGCGACGTATTCCATGGCGTTGTAGTCCAGCACAGTGAAAGCTTTGCGACGCGAACAGCAGGATCCACCGTCTTTTGCGATGGTTCGGCCCCAGTCTCCAATGGCCAGAGCAGACACCGCGTAGTTCTCAGCCAGCGGGTCCGTAGTCTCCTCTACTTCGTCGGTGGATCCACTACGGGAGTTGTCCTTCTTGGAGTTGTGCAATGTGTCGCTCGCATGGGACTTGGACTTGAAGCTTGGGGAGTTTGTCTTGTCACCGTCATTTTTCTTGGAGCTGGTGGATGCGTGAGACGCAGAGACCGTCACGACCACCACGATCACCGCGACGATGACAGCCAGAGCGACGAGGATGCTGATCACGAGCGCTCTCTTCTGCATTATCGCCGCAACTTTTCAAGTTGTCGAGGCTTCGGCGACTTGAGCTACGCAGCGCAAGAAAAGTTGTGTCACGCATTCTGCTGTTGGCCCGTGGTCAACGTCACCACCAACCAATCAATACTGCTAATGTGTTTCATCTCCATCAAAGCAAAATCAATCAGAACACGCTTGGATTTTCATCGGAAAAAATCTGCAGTGTAAAACTTCTCATGATGCCTTGGCCTCAACATCACTCTTCCATCCTTTTAATCTACATCCCAACACCATGCAGCGTGATAGCACTTCCACATTTCTCGTAGCAATGGACCGAAACTTTTTGCGGTGGAACTACTTAAGAAAACCTAAAAGCAAAATAAAACCGATTGAAAACTACTTCACGCCGTCTCAACGCAGAAAATATAGGGCATTTCAGTTGTCAGTATTTTTTTTACTGAAGAACCTATCCTAGTGTACATGTTGAGCTAGTAACTCCGTTGCCGCTGTCCTTACCAGACAAAGCAGTCCTGTGGCTGGAAGAACGAGGCCGGGTGATACCGTACTGGCCGCCGCACAACGTGAAATGGCATCCGAATCTGCAGCGTGCCGTCCTCGAAGATCTGCTGCGTGGCCTCCTCCATGTTGAGCATGTGCCGCGGGAACTGCTCGGCAATCTCAAAGCGGCCGAAGGTCGGGGCTCCGCTGAGGCGCGACATCACGATGTCCTTCTGCGTGGGCAGTCGGAAGCCGCTCACTCGGAGCACGTCGCTGTGCTCGTTCCACTGCACGCGCACGTTGCGCGGGTCGATGTTCTTGAGGCGCGCGAGGAGGTAGATGCCGTCCTGTCGGCGCTGCAGCTGGTAGTACGGCCGCCACACCGGTAGCGAGTTGACGTCGATGTCCAATGTCTGTGGGGCAAGGCCCATTGTTGTTGGCTGAAGACGCTGAGACTTCTGCGGAGGAGCAACTTCGTTCTCATCTGCAGCTTCGTCGTCGGCCTCTTCGTCTTCCGCGACCTCGGTCTCGGGCTCCATGGGCTCGTCTTCTTTGGCGTCTTCAGCCTCCACCATCTCTTCATCTTCTTCTCTCTGCTCTTCTTCCTCTGCTTCTGACGCACGGTCGTCCTTCTCGTCTTCACTCTGTCCGAACAGCGCCTTCACGTGCATGTCGTCGGACTCGGAGCCGCTGTCGCTGGGCGTCGAGGGCGCCTGCGTCTGCTCCGCAAACGCTGCGAGCAGGTCCTCTCCGAACTGCTTGAGCTTGGCGCTGCGCTCCTTGAAGGCGTCGGCCTGGGGCAGCAGCTGCTGCACGAGCAGCACCAGCGCCTTGCGCGCGCTCTTGACGTCGGCGTCGCCGTGGCTCAGCACGTCGTCCAGCTCCAGCAGGCAGCGCGTCAGCAGCTCCGCCTGCTCCTTCACGCGGTAGTCGAAAGCGCCGAGCTCCAGGCGCGTCTTCTTGACGACGGCCGCGGCGTCCTGTGGCTTGAGCGCCTGCAGCCGCCACTTGGCGCCGCACACGAGCGCGGCCACGTGCCGGAACTGGGCCGGGAGTCTCGAGCTGAGCTTGCTCTGCACGTCCTGCACCTTGAGCTCGATGGCGCGCAGCCGGTTCTTCTCGTGGGTTGTCTGGGCCTCCATCGCTGTCTGTCTGCGGTGGTGTGGAGGGCTCGGTAATGCGTTACTGGTAGTTGTTGCTTTGACTTGGTTGTCACGGGGCAAATTGAATTGTGAGAGACGTTGAAGTGGTCGCCTTGGCACCGAAAACCTGCGACGTGTGAGGAAGATACTCTGGGACGTTCGAGATGCGGGGTCGCGAATATTCCAGAGCATACTGGGCGCAAGTGGTTTTCGCGCAGTGAGACGCTTGGCGCGGTACGCAATCATGGCTACATCGATGTGCCGCACACCATCTTTGTTCGTGTTAAAACTCAGGCGCTCCTGATACCGACTGACACGATGGCGCGCCGGTCGGAGCTGGCGCTGACGGCGGCGCTGTTCCTGCTGCCGCTGGTCGCCGTCCTGGGGCGCTGCGTGGCCGACGGCTCGCTGTTTGCGTTGCACCCGGCGCTGAATGCGCTGGCGATGCTCGTGTGTCTGCCCGCTGTTGCAGCCCCCTGACGCCTTGTGTTCCGGTGGTTTGCATTCCATGTAGTGCTTTGCAGGCGATGCTGCTACGCAAGGACGAGAAGGTCCACGCAAAGAGGTTCGTGGTGAGCGCTTCCGCGTTGAAATCTGTGCAGTATTGACCGAGTTACGGCCTCTTCTTGCTTGTGTCCACAGAGTGTGGTTGACCAAGCTCCACCTGCTGCTCAACTTGGCGGCTGGGCTGCTAGTGACTGCTGCAGGGGGCGCAGCTTTCATCGCCAAGCGAGACGCTGGCCAACAGCACTTCGCGACGCCCCACTCGTGGGCAGCGCTGGTGACGGGCATGTTCTTCGCGCTCAACGTGTTCCAGGGGCTGCTGCTCACGTTCGAGGGCGTGAAGGCCAACTGGCAGTGGAAGGACGAGACGCATGTGCTCACAGGTATGCTGGTCTACGTTGGCGGAGTCGCCACTATGCTCTACGGGCTGCACACGAGCCACTGGGGCGCCAAGAACTTCTCGCCGGAGCGGCAGTTCCAGCTCACTGTGCTCATCATCGCGGCGCACGTGACGCTGCTGGGCAAGTCGCTGGTGCTGCAGCGTCGCGAGAGCCAAGCGCGGATGCAGAAGGCGGCTAAAGTGGCATGAAGCTTGTGGTTATTGTACATATTAACGAAGAGTGAGGTTGAAGCTGCTGCTGGAAGATCGCCACGCAGCGATGACATCACGGCCATGCGTCGATTACCATGCAATGTAACCCACCTGTACCCCTCGTAACCCATACAAATAGACAGTCAGCCGCCTGTTGTGGTGGTGCAGTCAAGAAGTCACAAGTCAAGGCGCACCGTCGGAACCCTCTCCTGATCACGATGGCCAAGAAACTGGAGCTGCTGGTGCTGAGCGGCCTGCTGGGCGCGCCCTGCGCCACGATCCTCGCCAAGTGCGCGGCGGCGCCGTCGCTGTTCGCGGTGCACCCGGCGGCCAACGCCGTCGCCTTCCTGCTCTGCTTCCCCCTGTGAGACCGTGGATCATGCATGCATCCAAGTATGGCTGCAACATGGGCGTAGCTAACCGACCGAGTTCTGATCAATGCAGGGGCATCTACGTTATGCTGGAGCGCAAGACCGTGGCGGACTTTAAGACCCGGTGAGCTGCTGGAGACGTATTGGGGGATACCTTTGTCAACGTGAGCTGACTGACGGCGCCTGGTTTGTTGTGGCCAGCGTGTTCCTGTCCAAGCTGCACATGATCTCGCAGGTGCTGGCAATGCTGCTGCTGAGCGTTGGAGGCGCCGCGGCCTACATGACCAAGAACGCGTACGGCAAGGAGCACTTCACGTCCACGCACTCGTGGCTCGCGGGCGTGACGGCGACGCTGTCAACGTTGAACATGCTCGGGGTGCGTTGCAACCTGCTTGAGTCGTCGACGACCTGAGATGCTCACGGCTGTTATTGTTGTTTGTTGTCGTTGTTGCTGCTGCGCAGGGTCTCGCCACCACCTTCGGAGGCAAGAAGACGAGCTGGCAGTGGAAGAACCCGGGCCACCGCATTGGCGGCACCCTGGCGTTCCTTGGTGGAGGTGCGTTGGCGATGATGTTGTGCCGTATGATAGTTCATGGCTGACAGAGCAGTGTTATCGTCTAGGCTGCAGCGTTATCCTCGGCGTGTACAGCGGCGGCTGGGGCATCTCGCAGCTCGGCGAGGAGCTGCAGTTCAAGGTCGCCGGCTCCGTGGCCGCTGCGTACTCGCTGCTGCTCTTCAAAATTGTAGCGACCAGCAGTGTCTCGACGTCTGCCGAGAAGAGCGACTAAGGGAGTGTGTAGAGAGGTACATGGAGTTGGGTCTCCTCAATACACATCGTAAAGTGAAGCTTGAAGTGCGACTTCAGCTATTTTGATTGGTCGGTCACTATTTTTCGTCAGCGAAAATCATCGCTCATTCGCTCATTCTTCGCAGCATGGAGAACGACGGCACGGCGGACGCCTCGGCGGCGGCGGAATCTCCGCGCGCGGCTTCGATCTACACGGCCCCGGACTCTCCGCTCATGGCCGCTTCCTTTCCCGCGTCCCCGGGGACGCCCTCGTTGCCTGCGTCCCCAGGAACGCCGCGCAGCGACACGCAGTCGAGCGGCCCGGCGACGGATGACGACGCCGCGCTGCACCTGCGGCTCAAGCTGCTGGACGAGCGCGTGTTCGACGTAGAGGCCGCGCCCTCTATGTCGGTGGCCGACTTCCGCCTGCGCGTGGCCGAGGTGACGGAGGTGCCGGCCGCGCGCCAGCGGCTCATCTACCGCGGCAAGCTGCTGAAGGACGGGGCCGCGCTGGCCGCGTACGACCTCAAGGACGGCCACACGGTGCACCTGGTGGCCAAGCCTGTAGCCCGTCCGGCGAGCACCTCAGCCAGCAGTAGCAGCAATACGACGCAGACGCCTGCAGCTGGCCAGGAAGAGGGCGAGGAAGGCGCACGCGCGCGCGGGCCGAGACGACGGCAGCAGCAGGTGGGCCGCGAGGTGGACGGCCCGGCCTGGAACCTGGCCAACCTGCGCTCGGCCCTGAGGCGCAACGCGGCCACCGGTGCAGCGGCCCAGCGCACGCAGCCGCTGCCCATGCTGAGGGAGATCCTGGACGAGATGAGCGAGTCGCCGCAGGAGGCGGCCGAGGGCATGGGACTAGGCACATCGGCCACAACGGGCCCCAGACGGTCAGAGACGGCCACGCTCGCAGTGGACTTGGAGCCTATCTCACAGGGTATTCTGACCATGCGCACGGTGCTGTCGACCGCCGCAGTGGAGGAGGAAGATCGGGCCGCAGCAGAAGAGGACGAGAGAGTCGAGACGGAGGTGACCCAAGAGCAGTCTGTGCGGCGTCGCCCGAGGCAGTTTTTCGTGGGCCAGTGGCTGGACGTCAAGGACACGGTGAACCAGTGGCTCGAGTCCACGGTGATGGATATCGCCGACGGCAAAGTGCTGATCCACTACCATGGCTGGCCCGCGCGGTGGGACGAGTGGATCGACTTCGACTCGGACCGCATCGCTGCCTTTCGCACGCGCACACTCCACACACAAAACATGCAGCGCATGTCGCCCGTGCCGACGACGCGAGTGCCGAGCGCGCCGCGAGTAGGCGATAACGACGTTCGGCGTATGGTGGTGGATGTGCGCAACCTGATGCGAGAGATGATGCCTCACATTGACCGACTGACCGAGTTGTGCGAAGACGATTTAAGACGAGAGCGAGAGCAGAACCAACCGCCGTTGAATCCCGTCGACGATGCAGTGTCTGGTGCTCAGGCGACGGAGACGGGTTTGCCAACAGAGACTTCCCAAGCAGGAGGAGAGTCTCGTGAGAGCGAGGTGTCGGAGGTGGCCCACCTGGTGGCGCCACTTTTTGACCGCTTCGGCCGGCTTTTGATGGACTCGGCGCGATACTTTGATCCGTTGCTGCGTCCAGAGCTGAGGGGGACGTCACAGCGCCAGCAAGAGCGTCGCTCGACTGCGCTGCGGTATGGCCACGGCGGGTCTGCGCAGCGACAAGCTGCGAGTGTGTCAGCGTCGATGGAGGCTCTGGACAACTCGCTGTCCATCCGCGATCTGATTACCACGTCTCCGACTACAGCAAATGAATCCAACCAGCCGCGACGCAGCATTGACGTGCATATCCACGCAATCGTTGCACCGGCCTCTTTTGCGTCATTGGCCCGTGGTAGCAGCGACGCTGGCAATGGCTCAGATGCTGGTGTTTCCACTCGCAGCGTTCAAACGCCGTCGACCCCTCCGATCGGACGCTCGTTTGGCTTCAATGACTCGAGAAGTGCCGACACCACTGACGATGACGTCGACCACAGTCGCGTGCCTCTCCTGAGCTCGTATCGCCACCGCAGTCACTCACAAGACACTGGACCAACTCAACAGGAGCGAGCGGCAGCACGTGACCTGGACAACTTCCTGGCGGACGACTTCTTTGGGACTTCATTTGGCCGTGACGACGACGATGAGGACGACAGCGACGATGATTCCAGTACAGACTCCGACGTCCAGCGGATGGTGCGATCCGCTTATCGTCCACCATCACCTTCCGGCCGAATCTCTTCTCCACGCACGCCTCAAAGCCAGGGTAGCGCAGACTACCGTGAAGGCTCGATTGGTGTGATTCCAGAAGTTGCGGAGGCTGAGGAGAGACTGCGAGCGCGTGCAGCGGAGCTGGAATCCAGTGGCCTCAACGGAGGAAACGATCGGACGTCGTCCGCGTCGGCAGGATCGTCCGCCTCCAGCTCGTCGTCGGGCTTCCCCACGTTCCTGGAAGTGATGCGGCGCACGCTGAGTGGTGTCCGAAACCTGGTCCACCATGACACAAGCGCGGCTCCTGCACAAGAGGCCAGTCATCCCGTGGAGTTGGTGTCAGGGTTCTCGCTTCCGTCTTCCTCCTCGTCGTCATCGTCGTCGTTGTCCCCACCGGCGTCACCATCCGTCCATTCTTCGAGTGGGAGTTTCATGAGCCGTCCGCGCAGCCCGAGCAGTGCCAGCAGTATTGAGGAGGACTTGGACTTGGACGAAGTGGACTAAACGGCCACTGATTGGTGCTGCATCGCGGCACGAAATACTTCGTAGTTGTTCCCGCATCGAAGTTGTACATGTACATGTATACTGAATAACGGTTTCTCAAGCCCCAAGGTTTTGTGAGTGCATCCCGTGCTTTCATGCGTGTCCAGAAGACTGTGGCGCTCAAGCAATCGACAGGCGCCCGAGCTCACGGTATGTTCACGTTGCACATTTTTAGAGAGTTTGGTGCTATTCTAGCTACTCACACGGGAAGTGGTTCGGTCTCATCAGTTGTTGTCTAGCTGCGAGGCTGTCACAGCAAGAGAAGCATGACGCGAATTGAAGTCGAGATACGAGCGAAGACCCCGAAAATGACTCGTAGGAGAGCCCAGCCACCCTCTTCTTACCAGCAGGCACAGAGTTTACCAGCTTCGACGACGAGAGCTGGCTTAGTGGGAGCTGCAGTTCCTGCGAGGGAGGAGGATGCCGAGTCGTATGCGGACTCGTTCGAGTCTGACGATGGCGAAGAGGGAGAAAATGGCGATGAACCGGCGGACAATGAAGCGGAGGCGGCAGCAAATGCTGCTGGAACTGATATTGGTCGTGGAAATGGAAGCGTGGACGGAGAAGAAGACCTCAGCGACCAAGACGATAGCGACGATGAATCTAGCGAGCAGGCTTCGGTTGATGTTCAGCGCTGTTCAAGGCCAAGAGTGCGGACAAAGGGCGTGAAGAGGGAGCGAGAGCGCCAAACGCTGATCTACTACGACCAGCACACGTACATGGTCATCTCGCGTCTGCGTGCATTGAACAAGCGTCTGAGCCAGCAATTGGAGCAGCAAAACAAACTGGTCACGACTCTGGCTGAGGAGAAGAAGCAGACCTTGCTGCTGATCGACAGTCTTCGGCTTGAAGTGCAGATGCACAAGCAGACGGTTCGAGCGATTCGCCCCACCACGTCCAATGGAGGCAAGAGCGACCCACGAACTGCCTCGTTGCCAGCCATGCCGCGTCCTCCGACCCAACCAACCAGTCCAAGAGACGAGAGAGGGAACAACAGCAGAGCGACCACGCCACGCTTTGGCATTCAACGACGTCCAGTGTCTCCGGCAAGCCCAAGTCTACGAAAGAATCAACGCGTGAAGACTCCAGGAGCTGTACAAGAAGCCCAAGGCTGTATATGTGGCGGTAGATCGCAAGACGCGCACCTGGTTGAGATGTACACACTCAAGCTCGAGAAGGCAGAGGAAGAACGGAAGGACCTGCAGCAGCGTCACGCTCATCAACTGGCCAACTATTCACACGAACTCTCAAGACTCGAGCGACTTCTGGAGAAGGCGCATACCGTGGTCCAGGAGAAGGATAATGAACTCCGACTTCAACGTACTCGACAGCTTTACTGCAGTACGCCAGCCACACCAAGCTCTGCCGTTATCACGCACCGAAGGAACAGCAACGCGGGGATCGTTGTCCCTCCTAACAGTACCGCGGGGCGACGTGAGAGCTTACAGGTGAAGAACATCTTCTCGGATGACATTTGGAAGGGGTTATTGCCGATGCCTCCACCCGCTGGCACCTCCAGTACTGAGGTCTCTAAAGAGCGACCTCGAGAGGCGATCACAGTGTCGACGACTTCGTTGGCTCCAGTGTCGTTCACTTCACACGTGGGGCAGGCGTTCGAGCAGCTACTGACCCACCCGCTCGTGGCCTTGCACGACAACACACTGGACCGCAGTACACGCGAGTGGCTGCAGGAGCTGCGGCAGTGCGGCTCGCAGATGCTGACGCTGCATCACTCGTTCCAGGTCATGGCGCGCTCGCTCCAGCACGTCGCGGAGAGTACGCACATGTATCAACTGGCCGAGACTCTGACGGAAGAAACGCGCGAGCTGATGCAGGCGGAGCAAGTGCTGGTGCTGGTCGTGGACAAGTCGGAGCAGGAGTTCTGGTGCCGCATGCCGGCACGTCAAGCGACTGAAGACATTGAAGAGCCCAAGGCGGCAGACTCGAGCAAGCCTCAAATGGGGACGGTGCGGTCCGCGTTGCCGCCTATGGGCACCTCATTGATCGTTCCTGGCTCAGTACCGGTATCTGCGGCGGTGCCGTGTGGCCTAGCCGCGTTCGTGTACCACACAAAGCGGCCATTGTTGCTGCCCGCCGGCCAATTGGTCCGACATCCGAGCTACTCCACGGCCAGTGACAACGCAGACCGGTTAGTGGTGCACCCGAACGCCTCTACCCTGTTAGTGCCGATCTTGCACGACAACCACGTGCTGGCTGTTGTCCAAGTGTGTGGAAAACTGACCCAAGTGCAGGCTTTGGGGCTCTCAATCGCCCTCGAGAGGTGCGATGTCTTCACGCCCGAAGACCAGGCGCTGTTAACGCTATTATGCCACTTCTCGAGCGGGTTGTTCCCCAAAGTCGCGTACTTCACGGACGTGGAGAGCAACAAGGTGAACGAGGAGACGTTCATCCAGCTGGCCCCGGAGATCTTCACGTGTCTGCACTTCGACGAGCTGGGCAAGGTCGTGATTGAGAACGCCAAGAACATTTTAGACGCGGATCGCTGCTCGCTGTTCGTTGCCGACACTGCAACGCGGACGCTCCACAACTGGCACAGCGACATCAGCGGCGCCGGGGTTGAAGTGTACCGCAGATCCTCTACACAGAAGGCCGACACGGGCATGACGATCCACTTTGGCCAGGGCATCGTCGGGTTAGTAGCTGAGACGCAGCAGTCCATCAACATCCCGGACGCCTACGACGACCCGCGCTTCAACTCGGCGTGGGACCAGAAGACGCACTACCGCACCAAGAGCATGCTGACGGTGCCCATTATCTCCAACATGGGCACCTCCGAGAAGCCAAAAGCCACTGCAACTAAGGGTAAATCTGAGGAAGACGTGGAGCATGATGATAACGATGTGGAGGACCCTGTTCGAGAGCACACGCTACTGGGCGTGGTTCAGGTGATCAACAAGTCTGGAGGCGCTCCATTCCGTGCCAAGGACGAGTTCTTGTTGCAAACCATCTCGAAGCTCATCGCGCTGGCCATCGAGAACTCGCAGCTTTTCCAGAGGAACCAGGAGCTGTGCTGGAACGTGGGCAAGCTCATCGCCGATGGAGACCTCGTAGAGGCCGTTGTGAGTCTTGGGATCGCCGCTGAGCAGATTATCGGCGTTGAAGGAGCTGCTGTCTACGTCGTGGACCCAGACACCCATGAGCTGGTGACGTTCCACCACAAGCGCCGCTATCGGATCGCCCTCTCGGAACAGGCCTATGCTGGATCATTGATGGAAGACGCCGTGCGCTCGCAGCAGCTTACGATCGTCAACGACATTGGCAAGACGTCGCAGTTCAACGCGTTCGTGGACAGTCTGAGCGGCATTCCAGCGCGTAACCTGTTGTTGGCTCCGTTAATCGTGGAGGACTCGGAGGGCGTCGTCCCGGGAATCGCCAAACTCGCCAATAGTGGAGTGGACAGTGGCTTAGCATTGGCTGCGGAGTCGGGCCAGAAGCTCGTGGGTCTGCTGCAGCTGGTCAATATCAAGGGCCGCAAGAACCAATTCGACCAGCACGACTTGTTCCTGTCCATCGTCCAGAGCCAGAGCTGCAGTGTACTAGCCGCCATCCTGGAGAAGCAGCGCATGATGCGCCAGAAGGAGCAGATCGCGCTGCTCTTGGACGCGTCCATGTCGTTTTTCAAGGAAATGAGCGTCATCGGAGTCATCAACGCCGTCTACAACGCCTGCGTCAGCATCTTCGACGCCACTACCACCGCTCACCTCTTCCTCTGGGAGGAAAACGCTTACCCTATCGACAAGGAGCGCGAGCGGCACATGTGGACGTCCAAGATCTCGCCTCAAGCCGCAGCGTCACACACAGCGAGAGCCACCCCGCACAGCTCGGCCACTAACATCCACCAGCTTGCAATGGATGCCAGAGGAGGCAGCAGCATGAGCTTCATCCCGTCCTTAGGAGCTCAATCGCGGAAGCTGTCGGTGGTGACGGACCAGACCATGCGCGTACCGACCGGCGAAGGTTTGTTCCAGCAAGTGCTGCTGCGTGGCAGCGCTGTCATCGTCAAGAACTGGATCGTGGATGAAGTGGACGAAGACGATAACGGCGAAGAAGACTCAACGCGCAAGCGAGAAGGTGGAAGCAGCTCCAAACCAGCTTCGGCATCTCGAGTGCGACCACGCGTGGACAAGTACACGATGAAGGCCACGCGCACCGACGTTCGGCTAGGATTTATTCGCCACGCAGTCGTGGCGTGCCCAGTTTGGGGCAGCTATGGCCAAGAGATCGTCGGTGTGTTGGTGCTGTTGTTCCCTCGGGACCATCCGGCGGTGGCTGCGGGTGCTCGAAGTGAACAGCTCAGCACTCTGCCCATCTTGACGCGGCAGATCTCCGGCGCTTTGGGTGTTTGCCACGACCTTATCACGGTATCAACTCGAGCCCACAAGATGCAGAGCATGCTGGAGCTCTCCCGACAGGCCCCGAAGGCTGCTGCATCGCTCACGCTCACTGCACGCGGCCACCTCGGGTCGTTCTCCCAGCCTGTCAACGTGTGTTCAAGAGCGTTCAGCTCCCGCGCTCTTCTCGCCGAGCTGCATCCGGTTTCCGCTTCGAACTTGACCGTGCACTCGCTCTACATGGACGAAGAGGGCCATCGCTGGGCCTTTCAGATCTCTGGAGCCACTGCTCACGAGATGAGCTGCGACCACTTCGTACAGTGGATCGGCAAGAAGATCGAGCTGCCTGCTGGACGCACCGAAGCCGAAATCTTCGGCAAGCTCCGAACCGACCTGCAGAGCGTTTACTCACGGAAGGAGGTGGTCACTGGCGTTATCGACACCCGTCAGCACTCAGTCGAAGTGGACACGGGCTCGGATTCCCAGGACGAGGCCGAGTCTCCGTTCGAGTCAACTCTGTCACGGTCGATCCTCCTGAAAGTTCGGCAGTTGATGTGGGAGTTCGTGGATACGGGCTGGCATGTTGACGTGGCCGGGGCCAGTCACGCGTTGTTTGGGGCGTTCACTACGCTCGGCGTCGAAGACCGGTGCAAGGGCAAGAAGATGCTGTCAAGACGGCAGCTAGAGCAGGCTCTTGGCACTGGATCTGGAGGTGCTGGCATATCCTTGGGCGTCGATGAATGGGCCCAACTCCACGCGTGTTTCGCGGATGAACACAACGGACTGGTAGATGTGGATGTCATGCTGACAGCGTTGAAGCCGCAGCTCAAGAGCTTCCCCGTGGTGACGTACGAACTCGCTCCAGTGCTCAACAACGTGACGCAGGTCGTCGTCAGTGTACAAATGCTGCTCTCCGGCTGAGGAAGCTCGTTAACTAGAACACGAAAGCTTACCAATCATCGATCTATGTACTTGAGACTGCAGCGCCTTCACTGACACTGAATGGCTCGTGCCTAATACAAACCTACAGCTCGTCCTTGGCCTGGGGCTCATCGGCGAACTCGTCCACGGCCTCCTCCTCCGCAGGCTTCTCGGTGGACTCGGTCGGGATACTCTCCAGGTCGTCCACCGCCTCCACGCGCGGCACGATATTGGCGTTGTAGATGCCAGTGTACGACGGCAGCGTGAGCTTTGTCGGGTACGTGCCGCCGAAGTGGATCGTGAGCTTGGTGGCCTCCTTCTCGCCGGCCGAGCCGAAGTCCGGCGGGCTGGTCACGCCCACGGACACGCGGATCTGGTGGTCGCGCTTGACCACGTACGACGTCGGCTCGAAGCGGAAGACGGCCTCGTAGACCTGGCCGGGCACGATCTCGCGCGAGTCCGCGCGCTTGAACGAGTGCACGCTCGAGTCCGGGCGGATGGTCTTGTGCACGGGGTTGAGCAGCGCCTCCGTGATGTACGTGACACCGGGGCGCTTGTTCTCGTTCGGGAACGGGGCCGTGTAGTCGACGTCCTCGAGGTAGGCCACGAGGTTCACGTCCGGCTTGTCCACCGAGAAGAAGAGGCGCAGCTCGGCCTCGCCCGTGATCTCCGTCAGCGGCAGCTCCGGCGTCAGGAACGTCGTGTACTGGTCGGCCAGCGGCGCGCGGTCGTGGTAGTACATCGGACGCAGACCAAAGAGGTGGTCCAGCATATCCCAGCGCGAGACAGCGTCCAGCGAGGGCTTGATGGTCACGTTGCGGGTCACTTCGTTGGCCTCCGTCTCCGGTTCGGCCTGGAACTCCTGGCCAGCGCCAAGGTAGAGCACCTCATCGCTCAGGTAGGCCGGCGGCCACGAGCTCGACTCCTTCCAGCGGTTGTGCGCCATGGTGAAGTAGTGCACGGGCAGCTCGTCCTCGAGCTTGGTGATCTTGCGGCGGTTGACGTACATGTGGTGGTCGAAGAAGCGGCTCACCTCGTCCAGGTGGTAGAAACACTTCTGCTTGGACACGGCGAACGGGTCGGCGTTGTCGACACCGACGTGGCTCCACGGGCCGAGCGTGAGACGGTGGTGGGTCGCGTCCTTCTCGATCGCCTCCAGAGCCTCCTTGGGCAGCTCCGGCAGCAGCGACGCAATGTCGGCGTCCAGCGTGTTGGTCAGGTACTTGAAGAGCAGGATGCTGGAGCGCGCGACGCCCATGTCGAAGAAACCGGCAGAAGTCTGCAGGGCCACGCCGGACGCAGCGATGGCGCCGAGGTGGCGGATGGCGTCCAGCTGCTCGGCCGTGACACCCACAGAAGCCAGCTTGTCGTCGCGGAAGCGCACGTCCTTGAGCTCCTGCGCGAGGTCCGCGTTCTTGGTGTGCTGGTAGATGTAGTTGTCGAACTTGGCGTCGTCCTCGTCCACGCGGTAGACGTTGCCGCCGAAGTGCTTGAGCATGAGGCGCGGCTTGAAGGTCGGGATCGAGTCCCAGCGGATCTGGCGGTCGGTAGCGCCCGTGAACGACGCCCAGTCGCTCAGCGCCTTGTCGTTCTTCACGCCGCCGGGGAACAGCGCATCCTGGAACACGTCCACGGGCGCGCTGTTGACCGACACGGCCTTGAGCGCCGGGTGGCCGCTGGCCGCGACCAGCAGCGCGCCGACGCCGTCCAGGCCCTGGCCGAAGGTGGCCACCTCTCCGTTGCTCCAGGGCTGCTGCGTGATCCACTCGATGACGTCGTACGCGTCCTGCACCTCGGCGTCGGCGAAGTCGAACTCCTTGGTGCCGGCCGAGGCGCCCGTGCCGCGCACGTCCACCGAGACCCAGGCGTAGCCGTTGGTCACGAACCGCTGCACGTAGGCGTTGACGCGCGGGTTGGTGAACTTGCGCTCGTAGCGCGTGAAGATGTTGAAGGGGAAGTCGAGCGTGTAGCCGCGGCCGTGGCGCGTGGGGAAGAGCACGGTGGGCACCTTCTGCTGCTTGTCCCAAAGGTAGTCGGCCAGGTACGTGTCCACGGCCAGGTCGGCGCCGTCGCGCATGGCCACGTACTGCGTCTCGTGGTGCGTGTGCTTGGGGTCGAAGAAGCGCAGCGACTCGTAGCGCCTCTCGCCGAACCACGAGTGGTCGTTCACGTGCAGCTCGCAGGCCACGGGGTCCTCGCGGTTCGAGATGTAGCCCGCGAACTGGTGCGCCAGGTACAGCGACAGCATGGAGAACACGGCGTTCTTCATGTAGTACTTGGTGTTGGCCGCGGCCTCGGGCTGGCCGCCGGCGGGCGCCGCCGCCGCCGCCGCTGCTGCTGCTGCCTCCGCCATGGTCAAAGGAGGGGTCCACTTGGGCGCTACGAGGAGACTTGCGGACTGACGCACGTGAAGGGGGAGCTGGATCTACCTACGCCGTGAGCATCTGAAATTCAGATCAATTTGGACCAATGAGAGATCGAGTTTGCTGATTTTTCTTTCCGAATGGGGTCAACCCTACCCCTTTTGGCTTCCGGAATTTTCGTTTTTCATACAAATACAAGTGAATAAGGCACCCTGAATCTGTGAAGGGAAGGATACGGTGGAGGCCATAGAGAAAACAAGAGAAAAGTGAAGAGCTACGTAAGAGAGGCTACGAGAGTTGGACGTGAAAGGGGATGTATTGTGGCTTTCATCCGTTTTGGCAAGTCGGGTGGTCCAAGATCCGATATATCGGGCCCGATTTGCTGGAGGGCTCCGATTTAGCAGGAAGGGCTGAGGGAAGCAAACTATATCTGGCCCGATTTGCGTCTGGGGGCTGCGAGTTGCGAAGCAGGGCAGAAATGCCGCTTTTCGCCGGCAAAAGGGACCGCCGCGAAAACATGTCTGGGGCCCTCTCAGATCGGCGTGGCACGGAGTTGTAGCGGCCGTAGATGTTCACACAGGTGATTTAGATGGCCATAGTGCTATGAAGTGGCTATATACAGTGTACTATTGTCCCCAATGTCTTGCAGTTCTAGTGCGTCATGAGAGGTGGGGAGGTATGTCCAACTTGGAATGCCTCCCCTTTGAGCCTTATGCTGCTAACTCAGGCCAGATATAGCTAAATTGGACTAACCGATCATGTGGGAGCTCCATTTTATATAAATCGGACTCCGTCAAATCGGGAGGCAAAATAGTTGAAAACCACAATAACGGTTGACACATCAATCTGACTTAACGGAGACCGTATGAGCGAGCGAGCGAGCGCCTTGGACTCCACTCCAAGGCTTGGAGGGCAAGGCTGCATGGGTCCAGGTCATTTCATTACCAGGTTCATGTACTGTGTGGTGTTGGCGCCGTCGGGCACAAGCGAACGCCGGAAGTGGGCGGGGTGACGTGTATCTTTCATTGGCCCGCTGCGTCGTGACGATACGATGGCACGGGGCAGGACTGGAGTGCAGCCCCCGCTGCCACGCGCTCTGCACCCGTCAGCACGGTCTCTGTGCGGTACTGCGGCACGCTTGGCAAGCAACGAGGACTCCCGCCCTGCCGACGAAAGCGTCTTGCGCTTTTGCATGCACCGCCGAACAAGTGCGAGACCGCATCAAACAACTTCAGGAGGGCATGCAATGGCTACATCAAACAATGGCTACATCAAACGGTCAAGTTGAAGGCACTTTTACTGGCGATCTACACGTAAAACTCGGTGGACGTCGTTAACGTGAGGCCGAGGGCTGTCATGTCGCCCAGGAATTGCTGTCAAGACAAAGCTCACGTTAGTGTCTGCGCATCAGATGGATACTACCGCATAGGAATGTGTATTGTACTGTACCTCTGCTTCCGCTTCATACCCGGCCACGGGCGACGAGCAGTCCGTGAGGATGACGAGGTCGCTCAGTCGGTCAGCGGGCCACGACTTCACAAGGTCGCGCACGGTGAAGTTCACGCAGTGCGAGAGCGCCTCGCCCACGACCACAAGCTTGCTCGAGCGCTGCAGCGTCTTCATGAGCTCCGTGTTGAGGCTGTCCACATGACGTCAGTAGAACGCGATTACTGAGACACAATACTGTACTGTATACCTCGTTGCGGCTTACCTCGTGGATGGGTCGTAGGGCAGCTCGTACTCCGCCCTCAGCGCAGAGTAGTGCTCGGTGAACGGGTTGCTGCCCTTCATGACGTACTGGATCGGCTTGAGAGACTCCTTGGTCCACTCCAGGGCGGCGTCCAGCACATCCGTTACAATGTTGTGGCCGTGCGAGCCGATGAGGCAGTGCTCGGGCCAGATCGTGAGCGAGAACTTGCCGCTGGCCTCCAGCGACTCCGTGTACGCCAGCACGTAGTCGTGTAGACTTGCGTCGCGCGGCGTCCACACGCCGTCCGAGATGTTATGCGAGTAGATGGTCGTGTACGGCTCGGGCGAGTCGCCCGTAGCGTTCTGCCAGAAAATTCCGTGCGCGATGTGATAGCGCTGATGCGAGTCCATCGTGAGCACGACTTGGTCCAGCTCAGACGTGTGGTTGGAGATGAAGGCGGCGATACGAGCAGCGTCGTCGTTGGCAGTTGCAATGGCGAGCGAGCCTCCAGGGTCGAAGCTAACGTGCTGGTCGATTACCAGGATTCCCAGACCGCCTTCGTTGATCTTGTTCGCCAAGCAGGCAGACGTGTCCACGTCGTTTTCGTCGTAGGCGCTGCAGTTGTTGGGCGGAGTGCTGATGTACACAGTGCTGGCAGCGGGAGCTGTCAGCATTGCAATCCATGAGGTGAACAAGGCGAGCTTGGCGCTGATCATCTTGAGATCGAATTGCTGATTAATTCAGCGGTTTGCGCTGATGCTGGGAGGTTCAGAAGTGAGACTTGAACTGCACAGCGCAACTAGCAAAAGGTCTTTCTAGTCGCACCATCCGTGACATGCGTTATGCTACAAGGAGGATGCGCATTGCAATGACAACGAGGGCGTGGCAATGACGTCGTGCGCGTGTGCAAAAGATGCCGCTCAGCCAAAGAGAAGAACATTGATATGTACCAGACACGCCGTGCTTAAACAAACAATTGCGAATCGCAATTGTTTGTTTAAGTGCATCGCAATTTGCGATGCACAAGTAATAATGTAAGCTGCATGTATTACAGTACGAAAAAACTTAAGCATTTAAAACTATGAAAATCTTCAAAGAGAAGGTGAAAGATAGTTACCTCAAACGGGTCTCGAAAGCCATATACAGCAAGTTCCTACGAGTCATAATATTCGTCACGAAAGAGTTGTTCCGATAGTGGTGCAAGCGCACCCAACACGTTCACTTGTTCGGACTGGGAACCTGTGCTCTTAAAGTAACATTGAAGCATGAATGACTTTCAAAACAGATCAAAGTAGAAAAAGAAAACTACGCTTGCATTTGGAAGGCAACAAAAAATACTACCACTACCATGCATACCCATTACGGGTGTTCTAAGCCTCGATGCGGGCGAGACATTCCGAGAAAGAGTCTATGCGTCTCGTCTTGATGGGCATCCGATCACGACTTACTTGGTTCGTTCCTTCATTCCGAGCGGAGCTTGCGGTTCGCGTTCGCCGTCGCCGTCGCGCTTGCCGTCGCACCGCCGTTGGAAGGCTGGGCCGGGTAGCCATTGTTGACCACGGTGGTGGGGGCGCCCACGTTCACGCCGTTGTAGCCGACGACACCGGGGGCGCCAACACCGACAACTCCAGGCACGCCAACGCTCACACCAGGGCTGACGACACCAGGCCCGTAGGCGCCCGTACCGCCCACTCCGACGGTCGCGACGCCGGGAATGCCAACGCCGACGCCCTCCGGTCCAGAGAAGAAGGTCTCGGCCACCTCCTTCTCCGCGCTCACTCCGCTTGAGATGGCGACGGCGGCGACGACGCACACGGTGAAGATCTTGCTGTTGCTGAACATGGTAGCTGGGGGGCTTGGGTCGGGCGGTTGAGGCTTGGGTAGGTGAATTTGAGAATGAGGGCTACAATGCAGCTTGCCTGGGGCTTAGCTCGACAACGACAGGCTAGAGTCAAGTGCCCATGCCTGCCTGTTCGCCGCTGAAGGTTGTGGCCTGGTTGGTTGACACCAGAGGGCTGGAAGATGTGGAGAGGCTTGAACAGTCGTTGAGCTCCATGCACGACGCACATCGTCCATAGCCGACTTCGACGTAGCAGCCAGTTGGTCTGGTAAGACGTCGTTGTGGTCAACATCCGCTGGCCAACGGACACGGACAACCTCCAGATGTCAGGGAAACGAGTGGCCGGTCAATCTGGAGGTGGAGTTGATAGACGTTTACGGACAGCAAAACATAGTCGATTCTTGGAACAGATTCTTCAAAGAGTGCCTGCTATTTTGTGGCTCGGATGCGGCGGCTTCTGCAACGTGGACAAGGTTGTTTTATCATTGAAGCGCTTCGGAAATTGCAGCAATAGGAAACACAAGAGATGGGAACCACGTCGGGTAGGATTCTACTATAGTCGTCTACGGTGGTCTTGCGGCAAGACCCATTCAACATGTCCGATGACGACGAACCTGTTAGCTCGTCTGCCACAAGGGACACCGTTTTGAGGCGATTTTCTGTTGTCACCACCAAGCTGTGTCGCTACTGCGTTCATGTGGAGGTAGTCGCCCACTTTGGCAGTCGCTTTGTCACGACTGCTGCAACGTTGCCGGGCTAGGTCACAGTATTCTTATCCGAATCGTTTATATTGCGATTTGTGAAGATACTTTGATACTGAAGTTTGTATGCTACATTAAGAAATCTGTCTGTAGTATGAGATCTAAATTACGGTAATCGTTATTAATACCAGTACACTATACACTATATAGCGAATCTGTATATAATATATGTATTGTGCTTTGCAAACGTTTTGTCGTTTTGACTTGGAGCTCTCCTCGATTTATCATTAAGTCGAGGTCGATTTAATAAAACGAGGTCAAAGAAAGGGACAGATCGATCTATTTAGGCCGGCTAATAACTCGAGCTACGACAATCCAAATCAGGGCTCGAGGTCGATCTCCTGGTGGATCTGGGCAGAACGAGGTCGATCTACGGTAAATCGATCCCTTTTGCGTTTTCAAAAGCGCAATTCGAGGTCGATCTAAGTAAATCGAGCTACCGCCTCTGTTTTGTACACTGATTTGTGGACCGGCCTTCCTCGATCTAGGCCATAATTCGGGGCGACATTTTATCTGCAAAGCACAATATATATGTATGTATACATGTAGTTGAATGAACTGTGACAAGTGGCTCACGGCCCGTGAAACACTGCGTTTTGCCGTGAGTCACGGGAAACGCAGTGTTTCCTGTGAACCGACTGGGATCGTACAGGACAGCTCTACAGTTGACAAGCGACTCTATTCAAACAGAGCAGTACTAAGTACGTAGACTTTATTTGTACTGAATGAGGTAGTTCCCTCAGTTCTCGTGCTCAACAGCCACATACCAAGATCTCGACACCACTATGAGCAAGTGTCTCGTCCTGCTCGTGGTCGCGCTCTCCCTTCTCGTGAGCGCTAACGCTATCGCGGCCTCGCCCGAGAACATGGCGTCCAAGTTGAGTGCCCTGGGCGTGAACGACAAGCGATCGCTTCGCGGCATGAAGTCGACTGATGGCCCAGCTGATGAACAAAGGGGCGATTTGACCAAGATCGCCCAAAAGTTCAAGGCGGCGTTGTCCAAGACCAGCATTGGTCAAAAGATTCAGGCGATGCAACTAAAGAAAATTGCTGCGAGAGAGGAGCAGGTGAAGAAGCTGCTCCAAGAGGACGCCCCCTTCGCGACATTGCACGCCAACAAGGTGACGCCTGGAGAGTACTTGCAGGCGACGGGAATCAAGTTGTCTGAGCTGCCAGGCGCGAACGCTGAGATACTCGTCCCCGCGTACGGAAAGTTTAAACGCTACAAACAGTTTGTCCAGAGGCAAACGCCTCAAAAAGTTATCCGTATCTCCGACCGAGAAGGAAAGCGCTTTAGGGTGAGAGACAATTTAATTTGGTTCGCATGAACCTAATTCACGCAGAGAGATAGAGAGTCATTTGAGCTATTACAGTGCTATGTGTTCTCATTCAGAGTTGAAATTTGCCGCTGTCGCTTACTACTATTAACCCTTTTAATTGTCGACTCGATCCAGTGGAGGATGACAGTATGCCGCGGAAACATGCCCGCCTGGCCCGATGCAGCTAGAGAACAAGTACAGTATCAAGTATCCCTCGCCTATTTGATCTTTTTCCAGTGTAGCCACTACTACGGAAGGTTGCCACTTCAACTAGCTGTGAGTGAAGACTCTGCCAGCACGCCAGAGATGCAGCCTACAACTTCTACTTAACCCAAGAGCACTCGTTACTTAGCCCCCTTATCGGCACGGGGACGACCCAAGGCTCGAGAAAATAAACTGTTACTCAAGGCATCACAGGATTAATTCAGCAACTTTTCCTTTGTGGCGGGAAAGACTAATCCCAACAGGGAGCGGAGTTTATAGTTAACTCAGCGTTTGCGGCCAGGCTGGACGATCACAACGCTCCTGCCTTCAGCTGGACGCGTGCACCGAACAGCGCGCGTGTTGATGCAGGATCCATGTCGGTCATCAGGGCGCTTGATCGTGGCGATGGTTGAGGAGCCGCGGGGTTGTCCACAGCGCGAAAGTTCAGAGATAGTCTCGGCGGGTAGCACCGAACTCCAAACGCGAAATTTGTCAATGAGGCCGTAGAACGAGTACCATCCGCCGCGCATGCTCGAGTGCGGCATGTGATCACTTCCAGCGGTATTGAGGCAAAAGCCTGTGCCGGTCTGCTCGTGTGGGTGTCGCTGCCACATGCTGTTCAACGTGCCGGTCTCGGACGACACAACCTTCCCGTCGAGGTACACTATCTGTCGCTGAAGGGTGTCGCCGTACGTGAGCGCCAAATGGTACCAGCAGTTCGGCTTCAGGGCTTGAGCGACGACCTTCTTGTCGTCCAGGACGGAGCAGCGTAGGTTCAACTTCATGTCCACCATTACAAGGTTACCCGGGTTGCTTCCTGGTACACCGTAGCTAGCAGGATTAGCTTGGAATCCGTAGATGACTCCACCAGCAGGCTGCTTGGCGCTCCCAGGAAACAGGCAGAACCTCACGTCAAAACTGAAGCTCGAGTCCTTCTCCAGACGAAGATCAATTCTGCATAAACACTAACTGTATAGCTGACGCTAGTGTTTGCAAACTGTTTATTAGTGTATTGTGGATCGGGCTAACGTGTTCGTGGAGTCAGACGATTTCCAATTCTCCATTTTGAAGCTCTCTTTACGCAACGTTCTTCTTCCCTCATGCAACAATGATATCCTTTACCAGTTCAGATGACTCTGGCGCCTTGGTGCGTGCGTGAAATTTAAATTCCACAAATAACAGTTCACTTGAGTAGCCACCAACCCGAGCCGTTTGCAACCAGCACTTACATGAAGTTAGTGTGTTGTGAAAACCACAAACATGTATGTGGAGAGTAAAATGGTACTAATGGATTTCGCACTTTTGGATGCTGACGCCGACGGTGCCGTACAAGTCTGCACAATGCCAGCCATGAAGGCAGCTTTCGCTGCCACCAAGACGGTGATTTGTGTGTTCTCGGAAAACGAGCGACAACGGTTCATTGAGCAGGCAGCACTGCTACTTTTCACCTCCGAGTCGTCATCCTCGCACTGTACACGATATATATGTCCCATTCATTTTTGGTAAGTGTCATGCAGTATTGTACATCAGTGCTCTGATCGTGGATTGACTCCTAGCTTATCACTAGACCTCTACCAATACGGCAACATCAGAAAATTTCCCGTTTTCCCCATATACTGAATATGGGAGATATTTGGGGGTTCTTGTAGCAGGAAGGCCGGTTGAAGTGCTTTGTCGGAGCTGTCCACCAGTATTGATAGTTTGTCATTTTTGTTTTGTAAGTATCTGCATGTTATAGCAAGCTGCATTTGTTGCTTGCATACTGTACAAAACGTCCTTCATCCCAACACCAATAATGATAGATTACTCGTGGTGCGTACGTGGAATACGGATTTGACAATCGGTAACAGCTTTCTTGAGCAGCCATTAAATTAAACGGTATTGATATTGATTGAGCAGCAAACATACAAACGCGTTTGCTAACACCACTTTTAATGAGTTAGTGTAATATGAAAACCACTATTTAACTCGCTGATCCACCACCCATTGCTGTAAAAGAGATAAAACCTCGTAGACATCCTTGTATTAGCGGACAAACGTCATGATCGACTTGCATTTGATACGTTTTATTAGCGCCGCCAATATGTTTTATTGAATAAGTACTCCGCTTGTTATTAACTCCACCCACGAGGTTCTTTCGGGCTTGCCTCCGGGGAGAAAATGCTGTAAACGAACTTATTCCTAGCTATAATCTACCCAAGCCAAAATTCGCTAGAGCCCATCGGTACGCGGCTAGCACAAAATTCATCACTTATACAGTACACTGCCTCCTCTTCGCCATGCACATGCAGGGGCTGACTTTAGCTTTGCATTTAGCTGGCTCAAGCACAAGTCGACACCATGCTATACTGTTTCACACCTTCGGTTGCTGTGCATTTACCGTTGAAGCACGACAGTGCGTGTCGTAAGCCACTTGAGCGCATCGATGAAAGAATGAAAGTGTGGTCTTTTTGCTTAGTCTCGTGGTTGGCTACTTTCCTAGAACTTCTCGGAGTCAAAACTATTACTATCAACCACTCCGCCGTTGGATGACCTGTTCAACGGCGGAGATATACTTGAGTCGTGTCACTTCACGACATGCGTTCCCGATTTGCTTCGCACACAGCAGCCACGCTCCAAGACCTCTCTTCACCAGGACAGCTAAAGTACCACCGCGCAACATGAACAAGTGGTTCGTCCAGCTCGTCGTCAAGGTCTTCCTTCTCGTAAGCACTGACGCTTTCGCGGCCCCACCCGAGGGCACGGTGTCCAAGCCGAGTGCCCCGGGCGTGAGCGGCAAGCGCGGCCTCAGGTCGACTGACGACGCTGCCGATGAAGAACGGGCTGATACGACCAAGTTCGCCCAAAAGTTAGAGACGGCGTTGTCCAAAACAAAACTTGGTCAAAAGGTCCAGGAGTCGAAACTAGCGAAAATTATGAAGAGAGAGGCGCTGGTGAAGATTTTGGTCGAGAAGAAGGCCAGCTTCAAGACATTGCACAGCAACAAGGTCACGCCGGGCGAGTTCTTGAAGGCGTCGGGTGTCAACATGGCTGAGCTTCCGAAGGCAAACGCGGCTATACTCGTCCAAAGTTTAAAACTTACAAGCGCTTCGTTGAAAGGCAAACGGTATAAGGAGTTATCCGTTGCAGACACGGATGCACCCTCACATTGAACGACGTAACTTGGTTGGCAGGAGCCTAATTCGCAGAGAGAGAAAGAGAGAGATTTCACTGTTAAATGTAGACTCGATCCAGCGCAGTTTTTCCATGCCCGGCTGGTCCGGTGTAGCTAAAAGACAATTAGCAAGTTTTCCTCACATAAGCGCTTTGTTCCCCATTTGCTTACCTTGGAGTAGTCCATGTACTTCGTGGATACAATTGAAGACTGACACTTCAAATAGCTGGACGATTGTGCCAGCACTCTCGAAACGCAGCTTCAAAGTTTGCCGAGCTCGACGACGCATTGCTTAACCCACGGGGGCGGTCCAAGGCTCAACTAAATAAACGTTTACTCATGGAAGCACTACGATAATGCTTTTTTTTTTCAGCCGAGTGAGGCGGTCACTGCGGAGATAGCTCCTGCATGTATCGCTGCCTACAGCTCTGCTTTCTCCACACAGAATGGTCCCCGGTGATACGTTTCTGCCAGTATAAGGCCTTCGACAGGACGCACAGCGCCCAGGAGCTGGTAAAAGACGATTCCACTGAGGGAACTGGAGATCACGTGGAGGTTCTCTACCGACAGCGTCTTCGACAGTTTTGACCAAGTAGTCGAAGTCTCTCTCCAAGTCTGAGCAAGTGCGGAGGCGGTAAGCTGAGCCGCATCCACTAGCACCAAGGTCCTGATTGAGAGCGATTGGCAAGTCCTACCTCTCCATTTGGTGGAAAAATACATCTTCGACGGGATAATCGGCGGGATATCTCTAGATAGTCGTCGATAAATTGGAATCGGACTTGGAGTGGTCAGGTAACTCCCGTTGCCCGCATAATGCCCGACTGTCCCCCGAACGAGGCCCCGAAGCGAATATTCTGTTCTGGGGGCGAGACTTTGTGTCGCTGACGTTGATGCCGGGAGCGGTTCTAGAGCAGTACCGAATTGCTCTTCCGAGCTTGAACATGACGCGACGACAAGCTGCTACGATAGCAGTCACGTCAACTGTGTTCCCACAGACGTCCAAGATCGGAATGTCAGCTCTCATCGGGTTCCCACTTCCTTTCGCTCTCGTTATGGGCGTAGCAGGGAAGATGGTGGTTGTCGTTTGGAGCGGCGTCATTTTGTTCGGAGCGAGGATGAAGAGAGACGCAGTGCTGCGCAAGGAGCTTCTGAGCTTCATGAACGTCGTCAACGGCCCGATGCTTCCTCATGCTTTTGTATCCCATCTATCTCTACGGCTTCATCCACCTGGGGCCTCTTGGACAGACCCTCTATCTTGGTCTTCTACCCGTCATCAAGCTGGATAACAAGTACGACTTGATGGCCCAGATCGTAATTTTCAACATGGACGTGTTCAACGCGATGTACGTCTCCAGTTGCATCCAAAGCGCGAAGTCCCTCAGTGCCATTTTGCTCTCGGTTGGACTGGATATCCTGTTTGCAGGGATATCAATGTACGACGTCGCAGCGATGGCGAAAAGAGTGGGTCTCCTACGACGCAAACTGTCAGCAAACCATCCATTGAGATTCGCTAGTGCAGTCCAAATTGCAGCGCAGATTATCAAAGAAGACGACCGGGCATGACTTCGGCTGTCGCAGCGTCGATACCTCATCGAAGCAGCGGTGCCCAAGCTGCCCGACAGTAGCGAAAACTCAATGGGTACTACCACTGACACTGATGGAGCTGTAGAAGTCTACACGAAGCCAACCATAGAGGCAGATCTCGCTATTATTTCAGCCCCCGAGACGTTGAGTCGCGTGTTCTCGGACAAAGAGCGACAACGGTTCATTGATCGAGCAGCGCAGCTACTTTTCACCTCCGAATTTGTCACACCACTCGCGCTGTATACGAAATTTGTTGTCCCATTCATTTTTGGTAAGTGTCGTTCGTCAGTACTCTGATTGTGATTTTTTCTTCTACGGTAGCTTATAAGTGCTGCTTGTACCATTGCAGCCGCATGCACAGCTATCCTGTTCCACTTGCCGAACCACGACTATGATGATGCCGTTCTCAAGGAAAACATAAGCTGCGTGGCAATGTTGGGCGTCTCCGAGCTTTTGGTGCTTTTGGTGTGTAGCGCTATACTCCAGCGAAGACTCGACATTCCCATGCTACACATGGTCTCCTTTGGGCTTGCCTACGGGGGGAGGATGGTGCAAACGAACCTGTTCCTTGCCATATTCTACCCCATCCAAAACTCACAATGGTACGCGGCTAGCATAGAATTCATCACTTGTACAGTACACTACACTAAAACGTGCCTTTTGCTAACCTCTTCTGCACCATTAAGGGGCTGACTTTAGCTTTGAATTGAGCTGGCTCAAGCATTAGTCGACACCCTGAAATACTGTTCCACACCTTCTATAGCTATGTCTTTGCCACTGAAACAAAAAAATATTTCGTAAGATTTCTGGTGTTCAAACATGGCACTCCACGCCCTCGTGCGTGGCCAGGCGCCAGTAACAAAGCTGTTTGGTAAGTAAACACGTTTTTTTCTGTCATGGCAAATTCCCGCTTGTTGGCAAGTACATGGAATCATTTGAACTACTTATATATAAATCTTTACTTAGTACTTAAAGTTCTGATCATTTTCAGTCGTCGTCGTCGTCTTACTTGTTGGGGGCGTGCCGAACCCGGCACAAAAGTTGAAAATTACGTTGCAGCGCCTCCACAGTCGGGGTGTGGCGTGGAGGTTGCCCCTTGATTACGCTGCAATGTTGCCTTGACCATCATGTCGCCCGCCATCCGTGCTGTTAGTTGTGAGCTCATTCTTGTGTACCGCTCAATGGCGTCCGATCTCCACCTCCCGAAAAGCTTGATGGCCAAGCTGTCGTAGCCCGCATTGAAGAGTGCTGAGGCACCTCCGCTACGAAGTGAGTGGGAGCCGTAACTGTCTGGTTCGTGCCCAACGAGTTCAGCTGCGTGTTTCAAAGCACTGACGAGGTCTCGGACTTGTAAGTTGTGGGTCCGCGTAACTTTGCAGAGTAGAGTGTCCGCCTTCGCGCCAATGGAAAGGTGATGCTGAACGAGATACCAGCACGCCATTACTGGGCAGCATTGGGCGTGACCAGACCGACCCAGCACACGAGTACATCCATCGCCAAACTGGTCAGTCTTGCTGCCTCGAAAACGAATTTGAACCTTTTTCACTCGATCGATCAATTCTTGGTCGCGGCCTTGATCATCCAGGAAGCGTACATCGGACCTTTGAATAGCATATTCTTTTACCCTCGTGCCGTCAGCTAGATACTCGGAGCGGCGCAAAAGAAAGAAGAAGCCCAGCACTGAAGCCCCCCAGATGACTCGGTGCTGGGCACAGGAAAAATCGAGGGAGTTGTGCAATTTTCCGAGGAGATGCATGGTGACGGGGGCCATGGGGTTGGTTAGAGGGTCTTCTCTGCGCATGCCGACGACAGCAAGTTGGTGTCCGGGGGACAGTCCGACTTTGTATCCGACGAAGCGCTTGTGATACCACGAGATGTGGCAGAGTTTGGAGAGCACGGTGGAGGTAGAGTTGCCTCTTTCGGACGAGTTCCATCCGAATTTCCAGCAGTAGATTGCGAAAAGTGCGAGCTGATAAAATGAATGGCGCTCTTCGTCCTTGGGTAACCATTTAGGCAGTCGCATTTCCGTGCACCATCGCACCCACTGTGACCAAGTAGCTGAGTATTTAACGTTTGATGGCGAGGCCAGTGAGCGGGATTGAAGTCCTTCGAGAAGTTCGTGTAGAGTTTGCGAAAGATTGGCGGCACGGCTGTCTGTTCCCACGACACAGAAAAGTTAGTCCACACAGTTTTATAAGGATCCGTCCAGGCCCTCGATGCTGCGTCTGCCATGGTGTTGGTCGACCCTGGTAAATGCTCCACCGATACTCGTAAGTTGAAGTTGGCTTCGGCTAGACCAATTGCCCTGTTGATTTCTTGGCTGAGTTCATTCTTTGAAGAAAGTCAATTGCTCCACTGCACTGCTGAAATATTGTCACTCCAGCACTTCACGTGAAGCATTTGGCCGGACGAATTGCTCGACCACGACGAACCCCAGGTCCACAGTGCCAATGCGATGCACAGATGCTCCCGCACATTAATGGAGAAGCTGTTGAAATGCGTGTCATCGTTGGCGATTAGAAGAGTCTCGGTCTCGTCAAATTTTTCTTGGATAAATTTATTTGCGCCAGGGTCCAGAATCGCCAAACCCCTGTAAATGCATAAAGACATGATGTAGCCTCAAGACAAATGTACCTGGACTCCATCCAAGTGGACTGGTCTTATGTCAAAAGAAAACTCGTCCACTCTTCACAGAATTCCTACCGAAATTGTTTTTTTCTTTCTCTATGGCAGCATCACTTCTCACAAGGCAAGAGTTCATGCATTCGCATTTGGCATCGCTGTTCGCGTTTTATAGAATTATACTCTCCACGATATGGCTTCCACTTCTTGCTTTACTATGCGCGCTGCAGAGACCTTTAGACTGCACCTGTTTGCCGCACCCAGGTTCCGAGCACTGCTTCCCTCCGCCATGCTCAAAGCATCTGCCCGCCGACCGAGACGTCTTGGTACAGTCAGGGAACGAGCAGCTCCTGGATCCTCCGTGGGTTATGCACAAGCCGTGCAGCTGAGCACTCTTGGTGCAGTCCGGATGCACGCAGCGCTTCCCGCCGTGGCTCACGCACAAGCCCTGGGACTGCGCAAACTTCTCGCAGCCTGCGCGGGAGCACATTGCTCGCTTGCGCGGATTTCGCGTCTGCCCCGCTGTACTCTCCTCCTTGGTCGGGTCACTTTCGGTTCCCTGTACGTTATCCTGTATCACCTGTTGCCTCTCCACCTTCACTTCAACCACTTGGTTCGTCGCTCCTTGCTGCGCCCAGCCGTTCACCAGCAGCGACATCATCGACCCGTTGCTCTGCTGCACCGGATTCGGGGCCACAGGGACGACATAGTTGCTGTACCCCGCCTGGATCGGATATCCCGGGGCGGGGTAGCTGACCTTGTTGCTGCCGTCGTTGTAGCCGATCCAACCCGCTGCTTGACCTGCCGAGCTGACACTTGGTGCTTCTAGCCCCGGTACCTCCTTGGGCCACTCGTTCAGCAGCAGCGACATCATGGAGCTGCCTTTCCCCGCGTTCGCGTTATCCTGTATCGTGACCGGTTTAGCGTCGACGTCGCCCTTGGACCGACTGGGGCGTCGTCGTCCGCCCCCGTGGTCTCCGCACTTGCCCTTGGACGTGACGGTCTTGTTGCAGCCTGGATGGGTGCACACGCGCCGCCCGCCGTGCGCCACGCAGAGCCCCTTGTACTGCGCCTGCTTCTCGCAGCCCTCGCGCGTGCACTGGCCCACGCCCGTGTGCGTGCGGCACTTGCCGTTCGACTGGGCCTTGTTGACGCAGCCGACCGTCGAGCAGCGCGCGCCGTCCCCGCGGCCGCCTCGTCCTCCGCGCGCGCCCCGGTCCGACGTCATCCAAAGCGGCAATGGGGCGATCGATGCCAGTCAAAGACGCCAGTCAATACAGGATAAGGACGCGGAGCCTCGCCTGGTCTGACTGTGGGCTAATTATGGATAAGGCAGACCAACGTCAGAAGGTGGTCATGCTCTTCAACTGTAATACATTATCTATAGAGCATATCGGGATAAAGCGCAGCCGATATAAGAGCAAAAGCATCCAAAAGGACACACAGTTCAATGCGCCGCTTCCTGGCCAAGATGTCTTCAACTCGCGCCAAGAACGCCAAGAACCCAGCCGCTACGGCCCTTGGAGGCAAGGTGTTGCGCCAGTGGAGACCTAATGTTGCCGGACCGGAGCTGCTGGTCACGCAGGGCGACCTCACGAGCTGCAGGGCCGACGCAGTCGTCAACGCCGCCAACACGCGCCTCCAGCATGGCGGGGGTCTGGCTGGCGCTATTGTACGCAAGGGTGGGGTCTCCATACTGGAGGAGAGCGACAAGTGGATTAATAGTCACGGACCTCTGAAGGTCGGGGACGCCGTCGCCACCAGCGCCGGAAAGTTGCCGTGCCGGCACGTGATCCACACGGTCGGGCCCAATGTCGGCAGTGCAAAGCCGACTGCCGAGCACTCGGCCCAGTTGAGACGCGCAGTGTGGAGCGCGTTAATGGAGGCCGACCGACTCGAGGCCAAGGCGGTGGCGGTGCCGGGCATCTCCACCGGCATCTTCGGGTACCCGCGGGACCTCGGCGCGCTGGAAATTGTGCGCGAGTCTGTACGCTTTTGCACGGAGAAAGGAGGGGAGACGACAGTGGAGCGTATTGCATTGATGAACATCGACGACCCAACGGTCGCGAGTTTCGTGATGGCAGTAGATGGCGCTAGGAAGCAACGAGAAGATGCAGACGGAAGACGACAACATTTGTGAACAGCTCTCGGGGCTGAACATCCGCGAGTAAGAATAAATATGATACGGTTTCAAACGAAAAGATGCTTACGAACCTAAGTACGAATCGCGATTTAACCGCATCAATCGAAAGAGACGTGTCTTGTGCTTCGTTTAAGCTATCGAATGCTTTGAAATGTTGAGAACTCGCGGAGTGACATCGGTCTAGAAAAATTATCTCCATTTTCGGACCCCCTAAATTCACGATTTTATTTGGGGCGTTGACCTCAATATTTTCTCAATTTTAACGTATTGTATATTATCGGAAAGCTCGCGCTAAAAGCAAGCGAACCAGAGCTTTTTTACGCTTTTTACGTGTGCTTTTCACTTTCGAATTTTTGATGTCCGGTTATTTCCGAAAATTGATTGGTCAACTTCAAACGCGATTATCTCGATAACTCCAAATGGCGCCTAAGCATCATTTCGTTTGAAACCGTCTCATATCATCCTGTGAGAACCTACGGGTATTGCCTCAACGCCAAGAAATCGTACGTGTATTTTCGACGCTTGGATCTAGTTGGTGCGTTTGTATTGTGAATTCCGGTCAAATTTGCCGAATCGGGTCGGTTTTGGGGCAACCGACCAATACAAACATCAAGTCATTTGCCGAATCGCCGGCCAACAAACATATGGTTCTGTGCCCGCACGTCAAGCCCAATCCGTACTTAGTATGGTGTCAAGGGGGCATAGCCGGGCGACCATAGTCAAGCTTTGGCGATTCGCTGGCGGTTTGCCACGGTCGATTCAATCCGCCCCGCTCGGAAAATTAGCGTAGAACTCACAATACTACTTCAAGTTCGCTACGTGTTCCGCGTCGCGCTTTCTGGCAGCTGCCGCGTTGGCCTTTGCCTCAATGTCGGCTAGATATGCTTTGTAACCCCTGTACTCCAAGTAGTGTCTGTTTCCGCCAGCAGCTGACCGCAAGTTCTTCCCCCAGTTGACGAATAAAACGAAATCCTTGGCTAAATTTTTTTCCTCGTCGAACATTCGATCTTCATCAAGTTCCTTCACATCCACGCCACTGTCTTCAGACGCCTTCCCCCGCCTCAGAGATCGTTTGGTTTTTCTCGCAGCTTCAGTCACTCGATGCCCTCCGTCAAACTCCGTGGAGGCGACGCTGACCAGCGGAGACTGATCGATGGCAGTAGCGCATGTCGCCAGGAAGATGGTAATCGCCAGAAGCACAACACAGAACGAGTGCATGGTTGGTCGAAGATCTCAATTCGTCCGGTGAGGGGTGTGAGCGAGTTGTCACCAGTGGAGTATAAAGGAGAATGACACTTCGAGAGAACTTGCGTACAACCTACCTCTACTACAGTATAAGCACCGTACGTGAAGAACAGCACAAGCATCCATAGGCACGGACACAGATCCGGCTTTTATTTGCTGGCATACTAGTAGCATTGGAAATGCTCATCACTGAGGGGGCTTCATCTCCGTCTGGTCGTGCAGAATCGCAATTCATGTATTCGTAAATGTATAATACGAATCGCCTTGATCTTCATCAGCGCTAGATATTCCTACGATACGAATCGAATGGCCGAACCATATGGTCACCTACATTTTCGTGATCAGTACCTGTAACGTGTCTGCAAGGGTGTATTAGTCAATACCACTGCTCCGTCTTAATTAAAAAAAATATAAATAGGATACTTGCTGCGTATAAATAAAACAGTGCTGCAGCTCCACTACTGTAGGTATACATTGTAGAGTATGTACAATGGCATCCAGCAAGCCAACTACTGGCAGCTCGTAATCGGATTAGCATTTATTAATACATTTAGATGATACGAGTGCATTCCGGAGTTTCTAACAGTCTACCTTGTTACGCCAGACAACCAGAGGTTGGTCTCGTTAACCGCGGAATGAACTTCTCTGGTTTTCCCCACATGGATGCTTAGAAGGGCGAGAGGAAAAGCAGTATTGCAATCCAAAAGTCAGGAAGCGTGCAAGTATAAAATATTGACTCGGAAATGAAGATTTTCAGGAGTGGAGCAGTGAAAATAGCTTTTTAGAAGGAAGGCAGGAAGTTGAAACCAACGCAGATGAAGACGTAGAACAGCGTTAGTTTCAGACTTCCTTTACAGCGCTCACAGCTTTAGAAAAGCGACCCTTCAGCTCTCTGCATTCGCCTCAGCAACATGCCGCGTCTAACGTCGCGATCGACACTGCATCTCCTGCCTGAGGATGTACCGGCAGGCGCCTTCCCTCTACCATTCTATGCCCGAGTCGTCGGTATAGAGGGGGACGAGGTCAAGTTCCGAAGCTTTGACGGGGAAGAAGGAGCGCTTTCGCGGTCCGTCGCCGCTCGCCGAACAGTCACGATAGCGGCCGTGAACAAGATGAGGAGGGTGTCGCTGCTTCGCCGGCCAGTGGCCGTCACCACGGGAGATCCGGAGCCCAAGACTTCCCATGGTCAAGTCGTTGGTGTTGAGGATGGCGAGGTGACAGTCGAGTCCGACGGTACCCAAATCGTTGCTCACGTCGACGCGATCAAGGTGGTGGCGCCTGTGGTGGCTCTACTTCTGCAGCATGTCGCGCTCGACACGAGCGAGTGGAGTTCTGCGGACGTCGACAACATGCAGACGGCCATACTATCGAGGGTATTGGGAGAAGGGAATAACGAGGGAAGCCGGTCTATCAGCTGTATACTTAGTGGACTGATCGACGAACAGAATCATCCCGAGCCGTCTGCAATCTGCAAGTGGGTGGATCCTCAGTCGGGATCAGAGACACAATTTCCTCTCCAACACGGTGGCGCGCCGGCGGCACTTGGCGAATCGTTTTGCCGCGCACACGACGAATATGTGGTGTCCACCGGTACACAAGAGGTACAATGCCAATCTGGCAATACCGGGTCATGTGAACTTTTCGACCCCTTCAACGATGATGACGACGGTTTTCCAGATGCATCGGACCCGATCGCCAGACCGGTTCCAGCCACTGTGCAAGCAGCAGGATCACAACGCAGCCAATCCCTCCATGGTACCAGTGAGGAAGTTGCTGAGCCTCCACACCAAAGACGCCGTACCACAGAGGCCACTGATTCTCTCCACAAGGATGCCCTGATTGTAGCGAGGCTAAGTCACGACCCCGAACTACTCGACCGTTTCCTGAACCTCCGTGAGCAGTCCAGGACTCAAGCGTCCAGTGCATCGCAGATGATGAAGAAAAACAACCGCTACCACCATTGGCGTCGCCGTGCAAGGCTAAGAGCACGACCAAGAAGTCCAAGTATGCGTTTTCGCCACAGCGAGAGCGCCAGGAAGTTCACGACAAGCTAACATCGGAGCGCCACAGAGGTAACTACCCTGATACTTATGTGCATAGTCGGATCCGATCCGGTGCCCTGCTTTGCAAGTCTCTCCCCGGCGTGTTGACTCGCGCGTACGACTACCGGTTTGGCATTGAAGGTCTCTCGATAATGCACTTCAGCTTTATGGACAGAAAGAAACGTATGGAGTGGATTGACTCGGGCGGTGCCAATTTCTCGAACATTTCGGCGACAGCGGACTTCGAACCAGCTCCAGCAGCCACCAGCATCAACGACGTTGTTGGTGCGGTGCGTGTTTTCCAGGTGTTCGCGCGCGAATACTGCGTCACTAGCGCGATTAAGCTGGTGGATGCCATCATTGGATTTATTGAGGCCAAGATTATGGCTCTGCGCTTGGTCCATCTTGCTCAAGTCGGTAGCCTCATGACTCCTCAGGAATCGCCTAGGTTCCGAACCTTGGAAGGTGACCTTGGACTCGTCGATCGCTGAGGCGACTTCGGCGCTCGCCAACAAACTCACGAGGAGAAAGAGAAGAATAACGTGGACGCGTCCACCTGTGCAAGCTGACATCGCCATATTCAAGTCAGCAACGAGGAGGTAAAAAGCACAATGAGCTCCAGCCTCAAAAAAAGGTAGGGACACTACTGTACATACGATTACGTACATGTATTATAGTACCTCGAAATAGTAAATACACGTAATACTGGGCTCAACACTACGTCCAAATCGAGAGTCATTATCCCTCTAACCCCGTATTCTGTATCCTACAGAATAAGTATTGTCACAGGACATAATATCCAGCAAACTTGTCCTCTCTTTCGAACTTCGCAATGGATGTTTGTATAGCCGGTCTTGTGCACATCTTCCTGTTAGATTAGCGATGGGAAGATAAACGGGGTTTATTCCGCGGTAATAGACGGACGAGTATAAACCACCAACAGGTTTGAAAATTCGGGTGGAAGCCTAAAACTGCCGCGTGTCAGCCACTCGTACTTTCCTTCATTCCGAAACTGCGCTGTTCAAAACGTCGCAATGCAAGCTTTGTTGGGGCCAGTCGAGCGCGCCCAAGTGGCCAAGGACCATGGCCGAAGACGATCATGATGAGCGCCATTGTGATCTACAGGTAAGCGAGAGCGTGTACTTTGCTCTGTAACATTGTACTAGTGGTATATTGATTCTACGTTGCGATGTTGATTACCAGACCTGGTGATCCGACCCAGACGACGCTATGAGCTCTCGCGTGTGGCCCGATCGGCAGATCGATTGCGGAGTCAGCGCACAACCTCATCGGTTCCTACGAAGCCGACTACAGTCGGGTCTACCGCTATATTGTAGCTGATGCAGTGGCTACTCAAAAGGCTACAGAAGAAGCGCTCCTCATGGTGTGGCTACACCGGAGACTACAGAAGAAGCGGTAGATGCTACGACGGATGCTACAGAAGAAGCTCTCCGCGTGATGAGGTTACACCGGTGATTACAGAAGAAGGGACAGAGGTTACGACGGAGGCTACCGATGAAAGCTGCAGGAATGGAGCGGCAGTGCCGGAGACTACAGAGCAAAGCGGAGGCTGCCAAAATGGCGAAGATGACCCACGGCTGGCGCGAACATTGAAGAGCGTGCGCATGTAAAGGAAGAAGTAGACGTTGGCATGAATATCATATATTGTCCTGTTTCGTACAAGAGGAACCGTGTGTAGTGCGTGTCATTACGGGCTATTGAGCATGCAAGCTCCCTGGTGTTGTTAGAGAGACAATCGTAACAAGCTTGTTAGGTGGGCTAAAGAAATCTAATGATGCGCTAATGTCAAGCACAAGGAAGAATTCGCCCAGTTCCTCCTCACTACGTCAGTTAGGAACTGGGCGATTTCTTCCACCGCGTTTATCGCGACGTGCCGAAGATGGGTGGCTGGAGCCGAAGTATGCTGCCTTAGCAGCCTTGCAAGGTATTACCATGTAGCAGGTTTTGAGCGTGCTCTACGCTCGCCACGACCAATAGAAGCTCGCCATTTCGGCATATGGTGGATAGATTGAGCATATTTTGTTCACTTTCGTAGCTGTTCGGTGCACAATGTACCCAGCGCTTGACCGCAAGATGCGAAAAGGCTTCCAACAGCAAATCTTTGACAGGTTTTGAAGTATACTTTAATCTAGTCTAATGCTTCTTCTGTAGGATACAGAATAAGGTCTGGGGCTAGAAGAGTTAAAGCAACATTGAAAATCAGCCTCAATGTGTGGGATCAATAACATTGATGGGGTCCAATGTTGCGTGATCGCTAACATTGACGCAATGTAAATTTTCCAGACGTGAAACTTTATGTTTGGAGCGACTGGCTCACAACAGCTCTCATTTCAGAATTTACCGGGTAGGAAGCAAGCGCCCGCGCGCTCGCTCAGCCTCCGCGTCGTGCGACCGTCTGCAGCGGTCACCCGCTCAACCTTATTCTAATGTGTGCATGTCCTACTGTGGTGCTTATATGCGTGTGTGTACTACGTATGCGGGAGCAAACGCCTTCCCAGTGCGTTGCGTTGCGTTAGGCGCGATGCGTGTTGCATGCGATCGAATGCGCTATCTTCCAAGCAGTCGTGAGCGCTTTTAATGCGCCTCTAGCCAACAGCGCAGTTAGGTTAAAGGGGGAGTGCGAGCGAACGCGAGCGCGAGCCTCGCTGAGCGCGTTCACTGATCGTCAACACCCGCCGATCAGGCGGGGGCGGGTCTGCGCGAGCGAGCGAAGGCGAGCGCTGCAACCCGATATTTTTTTCCTAGACACCGCGCCTGGCCGAGTCGAGGACTTAGTGTAAGACACGAGGGGGTGGGGCAGGCCGGAAGTTTAGCCGTAGTGTATTGCTCTGTTGGTAAACTACAAAGTGAGGACACGAGGTACAGATCTCCCCTAAAAATCTGCACGAGCAATGTACAATATACCTCGCAAAGGTAGTGCAGACATGCTCGAGATTTGCTCCAGCTGTCAGGAGGGTGTACTGAGTTAGATGAGGAAAAATGTCGCAAAGCCGGAAAGTCTAATCGAGCTCGGCTCTGATGCTGCGCCACGCCTATGCGAAATCGACAAACTCAGTACAATTGTATTTATGTCTAACCTTTGTGAAATGTTTAACCTCGCAGCTTTTATTGGTCCGACCTTCGCAGATTCTCCGGGGAGATCTGTACTCCTAATGCTGCGGCTCCTGCTAACCAGTGGAGCTGCAGTTACCGTCAACTAAGTTGTCGTTAAATGGGCATCTAGTTTGTCGTTATAGCTCACTTGATTTCTGCCTGATCATCAGGATTCCGTTATGCACGGGGCACTGTAATCTTACTTTGCGTTATCCACAAGATTCATTGTCGCAGTCATCACGCTTGCCGTGATTGACTGCGACCAATAGTACTGCTGCTAGCTGGGGCAGGCTGGAGATTGCCTGCACTACAACTTCAAGCATATCAGCTATAATAGCCGTTTGTTGGTTTGTAGCTTGTGGTTGAGGGGGCAAATTCCGAGGTGAGATTAAATGTTATCGTCTCTCAAACTACTCTCTAGTCTCCCCCTCCTGCTTTCCTTCTTGTTCTCCTTGTGCTCGTTGGTGCCTCTCATCAGACGGATTACTCCCGGTTTCCGCTTGACTTGATCTCAGAATATATGGGTCTCCCTGACCAGCCATTGGTGTACCCAGAGCCCGGCTGCCGCCGGCTCTCCTGTCGCCGTCGGATCCTCCGAGTCATCGGTGGATGTGGCCACACGTTCTCCTCGTCCATGTGCATCTATTGGCGGCGCCCCCGAAGACTCATGAACACTCGCACTCGCCGCTAATGCTGCACGACCGTCCCGACGATTCCGCTTGCGCTGATCAGGTACTTGAGCCTTTTGGTCCCCAACGCCTTGGTTAGCATGTCCGCGAGCTGATCCTCCGTCGGCACGTAGTTGACGACGATGTGTCCTTGGGACACATTCTCGCGGATGAAGTGATGCTTGATGTCCACGTGCTTGGTCCTCGCGTTGTACCCAGCGTTGCTTGCGAGGGCGATCGCGCCCTGGTTGTCCTCCCATACTTGGGTAGCTCCCACTTGCTCGTGACCCATGTCCTTGAGTCCACAGAACATCCTGCGTGCACAGGCTCAGCGTCATGTACTCGGCCTCCGCCGAGCTGAGCGCCACCGTGCGCTGGTACTTCGACTTGAAGACCACCGGTGCCCCGCTAATCATCACCATGGTGCCCGACACCGAGCGTCGGTCGTCGAGATTGCTGCCTCAGTCGGCGTCCGTGTGCGCCGTCACCTCGACCTTCTTCGCGTTCCCATTGTAGGCGATACCGATGTCTCGGGTGCTCTTCAGGTACCTGAGCACGCTGATGGCAGCTTCCCAGTGCTGCTGCCCGGGATTCTCGAGGACGCAACAGCTGGACGCCACATCAGGTCTGGTGCACGTTGTAATGTACAACAAACAGCCAATGAGTGCTCGATAGGGCTTCGCCTGAATTTCCTCACGTTCCTTCTGAGTCATCGGCGACTGAGTCTTCGACAACTTCATGCCCCACTCGCACGGGTTCACCACCACCTTGGCGTCCTGCAGGTTGAACCGCTTCACCACATCATCATGTATCGAGTCTGCTTGATCATGAGAGTCTTCGCCGATGAGGCATGGTCGATCTCCATACCGAGAATGAACTTGGCCTCGCCCAACTCCTTCATCTTAAACGCATTCTTGAGCGCCACCTTGACTTCCTGGATCTCGCTGCTTGTCTTGGCTGCGATGATCATATTGTCCACGTACAGGCAGACGTACACGAACCTGCCCTTCTCGCCCTTGACGTATACGCACTGGTCACCGCCGCAGCTCTGAAATCCGATTCCCACGAAGACTCGGTGGATGGTCTTATGCCAGGCATTTGCCGCCTGCTTCAGACCATAGATCGCCTTCTGCAGCCGACACATCATGCCCTTTGCGTTGATGATTCCATAGGGCACCTCCATGTAGACGCGCTCCACCAGGCCGCTGTTGAGAAAGGCGGTGTCCGCATGCAGCTGCTCGGTTATGTATGCCTCGGCCACCACAACTGACAACACCACTCGGATTGAGTTCATGTTGGCCACGGGCGAGTACGTCTCGAAGAAGTCCACGCCGTACTTCTGCTTATACCATTTCGCCACCAGGCGGGTCGAGCACTCGGTGTCCGACGGACCAGCGTCCATGACCCGTTGTCCGCGTGTGCCTTGCGCTCCGCATTCATTGCCTTCACCCACTCCGACGACTCGTCGCTCTGCATGGCCTGCTGATACGTGGTGGGTGCGTCGTTCGCATCGCCGACGTCTGCGGCATAAGCCAACACGGCCTCAGCCAATAGGCTGTCTTCGTCCACCCTTGGTCGCTTCGGAGACGGCGGCCAGAAGTTATCATTGTCCTCCGAGTCATCGGGACCATCTTCTTTCGACTCCTCGCCGTCTGCTAAACCATCTCCAAGTAGTAATACCGGTTCTCGGGCGCGCCAGGTCCGTTCCG